AATATTTATTGAGTTGCGTTATGAATCTCCATTGAAAGAAATAATTTCTATTAGCAATACAAAATAACCAATTAGATTTTTCACATTAATGAATTCCATGTGCCTCCATGATGGCGTCCACATTTTCCCTTAACTCGTGCACACACGAAGTCTCATGGATCAGTGGTGACATCTTAATGTACCAATAAAATTCGGTCGATCCTACATGTTTTGATTTGCTTGTATTTCTTCACGGTAGGGTTTACTCAAAATGACTCATGTATACTTTTCGACTGTCGTCTTCTATTGTATTTTTCATAAATAAATAGAAATGATTTCACTATCATTTTCTCAGCTACGATGGGAAAATACTTATTTATCTTTTACAACGAATCACATTTTATATCAGTCGATTATTTTGATTAGAAATCAATTCTAATTATTTTAGATGTGAAAGCTTTGGAAACTGGTACAAGTAGTTGTGCTAAACCTGAATTGGTTGGCATTGAATTTTATCAACAATGGTTTGGGAAAATCTATATTTTCTATATGTCAGCATTTAAGTAATAGTATGTTAAATTCAATTGAGGATTAAGAAAATCATACTGATAAAGTAAATATGGAAAAATATTTTGTCTTTAGAATATTAAATTTTAATCTTGAATTTTAGTATCGCCGATATCAACACCAACAAACAGTTGATAATCCAAACATGTATGTTTCATCTAAATTGATTTAAGCATATGTTATGGATATAAAACACTAGAAATAAAAGTAAAAAAATATTCTCTTGAAAAGAATGGATGAACAATTGGTTACTGCTGAGACTGTCTAAGTTCTAGTTTACGATCATCCTAGAATTCAAGAAAAATTAGATATTTCAAGATACTCAGGTCAATGATTCCGGAGGTCGGATACCGTAGGAACCGGCCGGAAAGCACTGGAAAGTGTAAGAAGCATTCCGGTTGGAAATTGACCGGAATCCACAGGAAAAAATCCGGCAATTTCTGACCGGAATACTGCTTCCACTTTTCAGCGCTTTCCCGCCGTACCTCCACGGCTTGGGTAGTAGATAATACGAATAAGAAGTATGATACCAATTTTCGTTATAAATTCAACAGAAAGGATTCTATTTTATGAGTTTGACAATTTATTAGCTGAATTGAGTACTGATCTATTTTTTTTTATCTAAGTTGAAAATAAATATTATTCATATGTAGTAAGAAAGAATAAAAGATCGATGTAATCCTGCATGCAGATCATATTTGTATCAGTTTCCTTTTAAATTTTATCAAGATGGGTCTTAGCTTGATTGAGATTCGAAAGATTCTTTCATTAGTATATTTTATTTTCGTGCATAGATGTTTTCACTTCTAGAAGTAGATATTCTCTGCAGAATCACAACTTTATATGAAGTATTCCATTAATTTTGACTTACACTATTGAAAATTTGATACTCATCAATGCTGATCAATTATTTAGTTGAATACAAGAGCTAGATGATAATCATTTGTCTTGTAGTGACAATTTTCATTAACGAGATCGTCAAAGTTTCATATTTTCCAGATTGTGTGACGAATGTAGCCTGACATGTCAAGTAAAATGACATGTAGCGAACGTTAAGTCTTTTCTGTTCAGAAAGATCAAGCATTCTTCTATTAGGGCGTTCTTTTTTTCCTACTTATCTTATTGATTAGTTTTTTCCTGGCAGAGATAGATATCGTACGTTTAAATTCATTGAATATTACCGTCGATGCAAAAGAAATCTAATTTTCACGTAAGTGAATGATAGATCAATTTTTTGTGTAATTGTGACAATGAAAATTAGTTTTTTTATTTGAAATTTTTACACGTGTGTATAGTTGTTAGAAATCAGTGCCTCTTAGTCTGTTGGATCAAAAAGTATTAAAATCTCAATTATACTCTTAACCTTAACAACATTGTTTTACTATTATTTTCATAGTCGCTGTAAAAATATGACATTTTGCTTTATTGATTGATTCTATTGTGCTATTGATACATAATAAACATTTCATAATGGATAGGTTTTATAATTAAATCGGCGAATTCTATCATTCAATGAATTATAGTTAGTTTTTCTGTTTCATAAAGATTGAGAAAGAGCACCATTCAGTCTTTGCACTCAAGCGCGAGAGAACTCATGCGTTACAAAAAAAACATTAGTAGAAAGCATAATTCGGGTAACTATTGATATAGAAGCAGTTATTCCGGTTAGATTGTTAGAGTATTACATGGAACGAAAGTCGTTCAGTCACTAGGATACATATCAAAAGTTCAACTCTATAATGAGAAATTTTCCCTTTAAATCTGTGCGATTCAAGAACTTTCATGTCCATATGATAATTCAATAGTTCTAGCTGGACGTTACTTAGAACTGACGGAGAAACTCCACTATTGGTTGTTAAAAGTGATAGCATCGACCATTAGATCCAATAAATCTAATACATTCTTTGATCATATTTATTCTTTCGGCAAGACTCACCGAATGATCGATCATTCATAATATGAATCCTTCCAATAAGAAAAAAAAATGTCGGTAATCATGTTACTTCCTCTTTTTTAGAAATTTTTACTTTTGCGCATGAATGTCCATTAATGATTAATAAATGAATATCTAAATAAATAATAAAAATATTAATTTTTTACATCAAGTCAATAAATAATAGGTAGTAAGATTAATGACTAGAAGATGTAATAAGAGAATACTTACGGAATACAATGCTGAAGATGGATATAGTTGTTAATTGGATTTCTGCTCTTACATTGCGATGTTAAAGTAAAATTAGAAGATTTTTTGCACGCCAGAAACCGCTACAACATAGATTGCTCTTTTCTAGGCATGATCTCAATAGATGTTCTTAATTTTGTGGAACTCACATATATTTTCGAAGAAAATGATGAATGTAAGTTTAAAAGCGAGATTTTTGCCGTTCCCCACCCACTCCCATCACAGACATTAAGGAGTTAAAAATTGTGCTAACCCGGAGCTTCACTAATTAGGCTGTTATTGCTTTCTTTTTTAATTACAGACCATAGTAACTAGCTTAGGGCATCATTACAGATAATAACAACTAATCTTTGCCATTGTTAAATATACGAGCTAACAATGAACACTCAATTACAGACATAAGCAAATAGGCAATGGCCTAATTATAGGTTTTGGAAATCAAGGTAGATTTTTCAGATGAACTCTTTTGAATTGTTTTAGTAAGTCTAAGGGATATATGTGAGTTCCACATTTTAGCCATAAAGGGGCTGCGCTAGCAAGCTTTTTCTAAGGTATGCATGCAAATATTTTGAATTGGATTAAAACAACATTTTATCGCTTGTTTTTGTTTTCTTTTTCGATTAGAGACGCAACTAGTCGATCGGCTTTTATTGATTCTGCTTTTTCATAAGTACAGGTGTAGAAAAATAATCTATATTTTCACATCCATATTTATGAAAGGAAAATAACCAATCAACAACGATTGACTTGATGATTGGCTGTAACCGTATTGTGATAGTTACGGGAGATAAATTAGCTGATATTTGTACAGTGGAAGCCAGGCAATTATTTAATATGAATAAATAAACAAAATATTAATCTGTCTTTATAGGTCCAAAATGTCATGGCAGTGATGCTGTCTTCTTTCGAGAACAATCAACTCGAGGCAAAGTTTGTGGTTTCTCTTAAGGAAAAATTCCTTTTTAAATGATTATATTTTTTGTTTGAATGATTATATGACGTTTTATCGTGCATGCTGTCATCAAAATTGTGTTGATCGTTGAAGAGAATAAAATTTTGTTTCAGCTGATTTTTCTCTTGAGAATTCAATTAAATGTAATTTCAGATGAAAAATATAGGAATAGTTTAACTATGTCTACACAAAATGAAAACGCAAATCCATCGATTCCGGTTTTATACTTCGTAAAGTCTCATAAGACTGAACCACCACCTACTGACAATAATGAAAATGAAATATCATCAAATCATGATAACAAAACTGAACAACCACCAACTGGAAAGGATGCTGACGAAAAACCCATAACAACCGCTAGTCATTCACGTCGGGTTCATTTTCCAACAGATGATACTCAGTTGCGTTTAATATCATATCCACCAGAACCATTATCGAATCAACCGCTTGTATCGCTTGGCGTTATATTACAACGTTATCGTGCGGCATGTCAACGTTTACAATTACGTCCATTAAATTGTTTACTAGAACAATTAAGTACAATGGACGATGGAAGAAATTCATATTGTGATCGTCTGGATTGTTTAAAAGTAGTTAATGAAAAACTTGAACTTAAACATATCGATACGATCGAAGAAATTTTATCACGCTGCCGGTTTCACACGTTAGATTTTGAATCAACATCTATTGACGATGCAACATTAGAACAGTTGTTTGATGTTCTTGAATATTATGAAGCATGTACACATATAAATTTATCCCATAATCGTTCGATTGGTTTTCAAGGATATCAAGCATTAACAAAATATTTAAGAAAAACTAATTCTCTTGAAAGACTTGATATGAATTCAGCGCGTTTCGATGAAAATTCTATACTAAATTTTACACGTTCATTACGTTTATCATCAACATTATACGAATTACATGTTGAATCGTGTCAATTAAATGGAAAACTTCTACAGAAATTTACACAACATTTACGTTCATGTACTTGCTTACGAGAACTCTATCTTTGTGATAATCGTATGTATTGCAATATCAATCTATTCGAATTGTGACATGCCGAGACACTGTTAGGAGAGGACAATGAATAGTTTTTTTCAAGTTATTGAGAATATCATATTCAACATCAACGAAAAAATCCGCTTTGTATATTTTACATAATATTCATAAACAATTGTAGTTGAAATTCGGGTACTGTATTTTTTCAGTGTTATTGTCGAATACTCGCCTAAAATCGAAAATAAGAGCATAAATATAGTATCATCTATTCGATCTAGATTTTCTTTTTAATTCTCAAAATTATATTTTCGTGACTAAAATCTTGAGAAGATCTAATGTTTTCGCGCACTTCCATTTCTATATGCTTTTCGGCTTCTTTCAGGCCACAGAAAACTACATTCTCCGAAGATAACTAATGTTCACCATTGCAATAAACAACGAGAATCAGAATTTTCATACTCAAATGTTCAACAATTACAATAATCTACCCTTGAGAACACTATAGAACTTATTTGTTTGATTCTCATAGGTCTTCAAGTTCAAGATTCGCTACTGATAAATGAATTAATACGTTTATGTGGTCGATTCCTTTTCCTACTCGATCTACGTTCAAATTCATTGCAAGATACTGGCATGTCTCATTTAGCTTCTCAATTTAGTCAATATGATGAAAACCATACCGATGCAAATCATTTACATAAAATAAGTTTTGAAGGAAATCAAATAACTCCACAGGGCGTTGGTTTTCTTGCTAAATCATTACTACACAATCGAACGCTACGTTCATTAAATTTAAGTGATAACAGTGTTACAAATGAAGGTTTAATTGGTTTACGTGATGCATTATTAACGAATCGAACAATAACGGAATTAATATTAAGAAATTGCCATTTAACAGATCAAGCTGCTATTGCTTTAGCTGAATTTATTGCTGAATCAACAACAATACAATATATTGACATACGAAATAATAATATACAAGCTAGTGGCATATGTGGTATGTCAATAGCAATGAAAAATAATAAATCATTGCTTCGACTTGACTATGATCCCATTTCGTCAACGCCGACTCATTTAAGTTTATTATCCAATAATATTAATCGAACAACAAATTCAAGTAGCGTTCTTTCGATGACAAGTCTTCGAAGAATGACAACTGGCTTTGGTAGTTTTACAAGTAGTACACCGTTTAATGTGAATCGAGGTGGTGGTGGTACAAGAGAATTACTTGAACAAAAAGCAAAATGGATGAGTGATATTGCAACTGTTTGTCAACGAAATATGCTTATATATGAAGAGAAAATACGTTTAGAAGAAGAACAACAACAGCAGCAACAAAATAGACCGTCAATCAATGAAACTGATGAAATTCAACAAAAAGATTCAACTATTACTAAATCAGAAGATATTCTATTAGAAGAAGAAACATCATCCATAATTGAACCAAAAGATAGTACTGATTCGGAAGATTTGACAGCAATTAACCAGAATAATCATGAAGAAATCCAGCAGTAAATAATTTTTGAATTCTCATGAGATAAAAATACAAAATTACAAGAACTTTTTAGATCAGCAGATACGAATGGTATTGAACAATTAAACAATAAATCATCGGACGATAACAAAGAACTTGAAGATTCATTAAATAGTCAAAATAATTCAATGAATCATAGTTCCAATCCTGAACAACCGACAGTCATTCCAATTGAAGATCATGATGAATTTAAACAAAGTGTTGATATTTCAGAAGATGATGATACTAAAACTGAGCAAACAATTGTTATTCCGACGATCAATGATAATCAAGAAATTGAACAATTGGCCGCAGATCTAGTCGAGTGAGTTTTTCTTATCTGTTTTCGCTTTTCCAATTCTATTTGTTACAATACGAAACTGATTCGAAAATCAAATCTTATTAGTATAGAATTTACCTTTCACATAGGGTAGTAAGTTTTTTGTTAAAGTAAAATATGATTTTCTATTTCTATTATACACAATTCACAAGAGAATTCTAACAAAATTAATCATAGTATTTTACTAATAATAAGTTTGATATCGTTAGACTCAAAATGTTTACTTGTAAGCTATTATAAGATAAGAAGTAGAGAAATCTCGTGTACTATCAATACTCGAAGAATCATATAAAATAAAAATCACCACTATCAGCAAAAGCGATACGAACCAAAAATGCATCTTTTATTTTTAGATCTGTTGTAAACGGTGATAAGCAAGAACAATCCGAATCGAATATAATTAATCAAAGTTCCATAGACACTGAATCATTATCCATGCCTGTTGTCATCGATGATATTTTCAATGACGATAAACGAAAACTTCATCATTCAGATAGTCTTCGAATAATGCGAAAAAAAGTCAAAAATGAAAATGATGATACAAGTGATGATGAATCACAATTATCATCGTCGCTGGAAAAAGAAGAACAAATAGCCGATGGTAGTTAGGCCAAAAAAAAACAACAAGTCTTACTTTTATTTTATTGTGCATATTAATTACCAATAACTTATTAATAGAAATTGAAGTTTATTTTGGTGCTGATGAAGAAAAAACAGAATATATATATATAGATAGATAGATAGATAAATAACACATTCCACATTCTTCTCTATCTTTTTTTCCGGTGGAGAAAATATCAAAAAATAAATAAATAAACAAACAGTAGTACTTTGTGCATTGATTATTACAACTGACCGCCTTCTTTCCATTTTTGAATCGTAATCATTCTGTCCATATTTATTTTTAAGCGAGTATCATTTTATTGGTGCTCGTCATTTATTGTTCTTTTTAATTTACAATTTGATATTTTATGTTGTTCCATGAAAAATTCGTTTTTTTCCTCTAAATATTAAACACAAACTTAGTTATAATTGATTTTTATATATGTGAATTATATGATTAATTGCAAGTTATTGTTTTTTTTTTGTATAACGATAGTTTTCGACGTTTTTTCTTTTGTTCTTAGACGATATTAAAGATTAAAAAACCTAAATATACCAGAAGTTTATGTTTTTATGAAAATCAACCATTCGTTTCTTTTTATTAAAGATTAATGTCATATGAGAAAGAACAAACTGTAGCTATACAAGCATGCCTACAAGCAGCCAAGTTATGTGAACGTGTGCGTTCTACTATACCAGTTGCTATAGAAAAAGTTGATCATTCGCCAGTCACTGTAAGATAAATAAAAATTCTTTTTTTAAGCTTTGCATTTAATTATCTTTAATCAATATAGTTAGCAGATTTTGGTTCACAAGCATTAATATGTCATCGAATCCATAGTGAATTTCCTGATGATCCTATTGTAGCTGAAGAAAGTCCAAAGGTATTACTCAAACCTGAACAAGCCGATAATCTTAAACAAATCGTTGCCTATGTTAAAGAGGAACATAAAGATGCAGACGAGCAGCAAGTTATTGAATGGATCGGATATGGTACAGGACATGTTAGTCAACGTTATTGGACATTAGATCCAATTGGTAAGAATTTACGATAAAAACAAACAAAACAATTTTTTTTAAGTTGTAGATGGCACCAAGGGTTTCATACGTCGGGATCAATATGCAATTGCACTTGCTTTGATCGTTGATGGTGATGTTAAAGTTGGTATCTTAGCATGTCCAGCATATGGTGACGATGGTGGCCTTTTATTCTATGCTGTACGTGGTAAAGGTGCTTATTCACAATCCATTAAAGCATTTAATACAACAATACCAACTCGTATCTATACAGTGATAGACAATGATATAAATAACTTTCGTTTTGTTGAAAGTGTCGAAGCTGCTCATGGAGATCAAGCTAAACAGACTAAAATTGCACGTATTATTGGCATTCAAGCAGCTCCAATACGTATGGATTCTCAAGTCAAATATGCTGCAGTTGCTTGTGGACAAGCCGCAATTTATTTTCGTTTTCCTAATCCACATAGTCATGGTTATCGAGAGAATATTTGGGATCATGCAGCAGGTGCAATTATTGTCCAAGAAGCCGGTGGAAAAGTAACTGATATGGACGGAAAAGCATTAAACTTTCGAGATAATGAAAAAATGCTTGACAATCGTGGAGTTGTTGTCAGTAATGGATCAATTCATGAAAAAATACTTGAAGCCGTAAAAGATTGAAACATTATGACATCTAGTCTTTCTTTTTATCTCTAAAAAATCTCACAATATTAAAATTCGTAGAGTAGCATACCCATATAATTTATTTGTTATTGCTTCAGACAGATAAAATAAACAATTTAATGTGTTTCAAATGACCAAATAAAAGATTTTCATACCTAAATATTTTTTTTCTTTCTACTCAAACAACACACAACGATTTGAAACTTATTCATACATTGATTCTATCATTTTCGTACAAAATCATTTATTTTTAATCTACTAGGCATTGTAGTGATATTATTGTATCAGTTTTTCCTTCGAAAATGTAATTTCTATGAACAAAGAAACATACTTCCTTTTAGGGTTCTATGATGCGTTCTAATACTTCGGATTTATTTGAATCAATTCTGACTCATATACTTGTACAAATGAATAATGCATTTGATTCCAAAATGACTCAAGCGTCTATGTACTTGAAAAAAACACGACATCCTATATCTTATAGGATTAGCATAAAATCAATAGTTAGTTTTTAAATCGTCTGATTTTTAAGTTATTATTATTATTTTTCGATTCCATTTCAATTGAACGAGATGAAAATTTTCTGATATCAATCACTACTCTATCTCTCTCTATAGAGAGATATTAAAAAAATAATAACTATAGATAAACAAATTTCCTTTTGCGTCTACTTCACCTAGTTTCAAGGACACAAAAAAAGCTTCTCGTTTTCAATTATGATGATAACAACGTCAAGGGCAACTTACTTATATGTACGTGTATCTTTCCTTTCTTTCCTTAAGTATGTATTAATTGATGTGATGAAAACAAAAAGATGTGTAACCTGTCAAAGTTCGAAAAACTTCTAAAACATGTTATTTTTGTTTTATCGTCGTCAAAAGATTTTATTTATTCCGTATTTTGTTCGCAGCAGATTTACACATACAAGAAACAGGAAAAGACAAGAAGAGAAAGTTCACAAACTGTTCTACACAACATACACATAGATACACATAGTTTATTGTTTCTTTATTTTTGTATTCTCTCGAAGAAATACAACGACGACTGCAGTTATTTAGTGTGTTTTTTTGTTTTTAACGATACTCAGAGCATCGAAAATAGGATAATTAAAGTCAGGAAATGAAAAACGAAGAAGTACCGTTTGACGGCTCATTTCCGGACTTAAGAATAAAAGCAAAAGAAATATACAATGTTTTAAATTAAAAAAAAAGAAGAAGAAGGACAGTCGAATCGCTAAGCGTCGTCCATTGATGATGATGATGATGATGCTGATGAAGATGCTGATGCTAATAATCGTTCAAGATATGTATGAATCGGTGTACTCTGATGCATGGAACCAGCACAAAACAATCTTTCAAATATATCTTCTTTAACTTGATAGATATTGCATAAGAAGAAGACTATTTTAGAATATTTAACTCGCGATGAACACCATGTTGTTAATCGAGTTTGCGCATGACATTCACCTTTTTCAAATGAATCGGCAGACGAATTTTGAAACAAAGTTTTACCTTCCTTATATATAATAACTTCGCGTATAAGATTAAAGCCGATTTCATCGATTTCTAATGTTTTACCGCGAGTTATTAATAATTCAATTTGTTTAACATCATTTTCTGTTGGAAGATGTGAACTCGTTGTCGATGATACGTCACTTGGTATTTGTAAATCTTTTGTGACATAAATTTCGAAACTATTTTCAATCATACTTATTATCAATAATCGATGCCATATACGAGAAAGAAGTGCAAATTTATCTCTATCATTATCAATGGTTTCTTGAATAACTGGAAGTGACAAAGCAAAATTAACATTACGTTCAAGCCAATCATTTATACGTGCACCAATAACAGGCATTAACTTTTTTGGTATACAAACATATTCATTGACTGGTTCCATATTATTCGATTTCGATGGACTTACACATGATGGTGAACCTGCTGGAGACGTTGAAGATGACGATGATGGATAACGAATATTAGATGGAATAGGACCTGCAAATAGATTTTTCAAAAACAAAAAGTATTAATAATTTGTTTCTCTTTTGCTTTTTGTAATAGAAATACGAGAGAACTTACTGTTATCTATAGTTCTACTTCCTCCATTGTGTTTACGTAAATCGATCGGTACTGGTTTCAGTAATTTTTGTTGTCCTAATAAACGACTACTTTCAAGTAGTGTTTGATAGGTTTCACGTCGATAGGGTTGATCATTAATCGATGGTGCCGATCGCATATGATTGTTATTATTGTCACTCTCAGGTTGTTGCTGTTGTTTTCGACGTTCACGAAATTTCTCCGGTGATGATGAATTATTTGGATTATTATTTGTCGAAGCCGAAGCTGCTGCAGCTACAGCAGCAGCCATCATAGGTGTTGGCAATTGTAAATAACCTGATGCTGCAGCTGCATGCAGAAATGCAGCTGGATAATTGACACGAAATTGTTGTGTTAGACTATGCATGAGGGCATATTGAGCATACCCAATGGCAATAGCTTCTTGTTGACTTAATGGAATGTTATTGGTTGCTGTTGTTGTTGTTGTCGATGTTGGCATAGCAAAACCTGATGAAACAGTGGCTTCCGTTGAAAATTTTTTATCTTTATTCAATTCATCATAAAAATGGGCAAGTGATTTTCGCTTTCGACTTCCGTTTGACATTTGTGGTTGGTTGTTAGCTTCTATATGATTTGTACGAAAAACCTAAAAAGAAAAAGGTATACTGATGTTTAAAAAGGCAAAACAGCAAATCTCAGGAAATATTTACATGAACAATATTATTATCTGACAATGGGCTGGACGATGAAACACCTGAATCGGATGCACATGATTTCACTGAAGCTGATCGAACAATTTTTGGTGTTGTATCATCTGGTGATGGTGATGCCGATGACGTGATTGGATTCGTAAGCGAAGGACATGATGAAGCCGTAGCTAATAAATAAGATGTAGATGTAGCAACTGATTGTACAATGGATGTTGCTGGCGTAGTTTGAACATTGGATGCAGAAGGTGATGTTCGTTTGGTAAGTACCGTCATTGGATATGAACGACAACGAGGCGGTGAACAAGTTGCTGTTACAACAGTATGATCATTTGAAGATTCCGATAGATTATTATTATTATTATTATTATTATTGTGTATATTTGCAATTGGTGACACAGGTAATGATGCTGAAGCTTTAATATCAACAAGAGTGTCTGTTGTGTTTGTACTTGTTGGAGAATTTAAATTAGCCACATTTGTAGTTGCTCCTGATGGTGGTGATAGAGCGCGTGGTGATTGTAATGTTCCATTGAGTAGAGCGGGTAAAATATTCGTTAGAGTACTACTTGATGCCGTTCGATGCGAAGATGCTATTGGTGAAAATTCACCTTTACGTAAAAGTGATGGGATACTCAATGATGATGAAATAGATGTTGATGCTGCAGAATTTGAAGATGCTTGAAGCATTTGTGTGAGAAAAGCATTCTCTGTTGATGAACTTTCATTATCTTTGCCTGTAGATAAATATAAATGGATTCGTTTTAATTATCTTTAACTGCTGTTCACTTACCATTAGTAAGATGATTTAATTGTAGTTGCTTGCGTTTTTCGCGAACACTTTTATAAAATGCAATGCGATCCAGTGTATTCAATGGATGTTGTGGTACGGCTGTAGCGGGGAGCATGGATGATGAGTGAACTTGTCAAACAGTTCACGACAAAAAAGAGTAATGTGACCTTATCGGTCTAGAATTATAAAAGAAAGAAGACAATAAGGAGCATATATTGTGCAATCGATTATGAACGACAATGTTGTTGTTGTCGTCTCACTATACTCCTCGTTCATCCGATCTGTACACATACGGCGGCGACGATCGTATTGTCCACTCTTCTTTTTTTTTTTTTATTATTTGTGATGCTTTAATTCCTGTCTAGCCATCACCGCTACGCAATAATAAATATGAGCATACAAATTACTACGATGAGAACGAGCACGATGAAAGGAAGAAGAACAAGAATAGAATGTGAAATGTAATTTAATACAACTACGGAAGCTCCCTTTTTTTTTCTTACGGATGCATCTGTTTTTTAACGACTGCACTCTTTATTCATTTTTTTACTATTATTAAAATACTCATCAGTTGAGTAACAAATTTATCTAGAAACTATAACAAATATAATAAGCGGCAATTATGCTACCAAAAATAGCGAGAAGTATGGATCGATAATAATTTCTCGGTGAAGAGTAAACATCTACTCAGAATAGCAAGAAAACTTATCTTCACCCTCAAGAAACCTTTGCCTCCTCTCTACTTTGTCATATTTTTCTACTTGTTTCGAATCGATGTTCGTTCGGTTCTTTTATTCTCTTCTTTCTCTCCTTTCTTGTTTTTTTTTCAAGGACAAATAGAAACATATATTACTGGCTACGTAAAGAAAATGGAAGGCGACCTTGAATTACATGTCAAAAGGCTGCTCGCATGCTTTTATTAACATGCGAGACACCAGTGATGACGATGTTGTTTTCTGTTGTTTTTGTGCGTCATCATTAAAATGTACACGGTAGCACGTAGCAGAAGCGACTTGGAGAAAACAGAAAAACGAATGCATTAACACTTATTTATGCGTATATTCTATTCTTATTTTATATTCCAAGAAAAAGTACGAAAGAAGTATAAATCTTCCGTGTATACTTACTTACTCATTGACAACACAAAAAAAATAAGAAACAAGAGAACTATTTTTGAAAATGAAAGGTGAGACTCAGCCTCTCTACTACCAGTCTGATTCTTTACTTACATAATTAATGACAGAGAGGCGATATTTTGGTGTTTTGGTCTTATTACTATTCTCGTTAACATCTGTTCTTTCCTGTCGCCCTATTTTCTCTCGTTGTTTTAGTAAAACAAGAAAAAAGAAAAAAGAAATACGATAAACAATCAGATGTTTTTCTTAGTTGAATTAAAAAGCAATAAGATTAACCTACAAGAGCAAAAAAGAAAACGACATAATTCGAGTATCTTGCAAAAAGAAAAGCTAAATCACATTTAAATTAAGAAGAAAACAGAGCTTTATTAACGTTTTACCTCGAAGGTTATCAAGATTGAATATGCATAAAAACCTTTCACTTTTCTGGATAAAAGCAAAGAAAACGAGTTTTACATGGCCGAGGTCAAGGTTGTATGATGAATGTATACGCATATATGTATACACGCATCTTTAAATTTATTGAATTTCATTACTCTACTATACTTTCCTTATATTCTCGGCTCACAATCAATCGAATATCAACGATTACGACAGGCTCGAGGCGAGGGACACGGCACGCATCAAACAAAAAGAGTAGAGTAAAAAGTTTGCTCATCTTCGCCTCGCTTTTACTTTTATTCAATGTCATTTTATGTGCATCGCCTGACTTTGTTCTTATTTCGGACGAGCATCTTACCTAATACACATTTACGTACACGACCAGTACTTTCGTTCAAGGGAAGACTTGTGTATAAGAGGGAAAAGAAAGAGCAAACGGAAGAGTTTATTGCGCAACTATCCATCGTGGCACGACAAAGACGGCGCCGTATATATACGTACGCACCATATATATATATATATATATATGCGTATGTATATGTGTGTGACGTAAACTACTAACATCATCACTACTTAAAAACGAAGAAGGGTGAAATCGAGGCTGACCTGTCGTCAGCGTTGATGTATAGCAATTGTAATACGTTTATATATATATATATATATGTGTGCCATTCTTTCAAACAAAAAATAATAGAAAGCAACTGTAGTTCGTATGTATGCGTAATGCATACATATGGTATAAAAAAAAAAGAAGAAAAAGACCAAGGTGAATGCATAGTTCAAATGGAACTGACCCAGACAAGAGCGCCAGACACACACTCAACAATCCATATGTTTAATAGAAGAGCAATTATGACTTGTGCTATACTGTTCAATCGATTGACTTGCCCAGGACGGCTAGTCAGTCGCTCGTTTGTGTTCATTCTCTTTTCTTTCTTTCCTTTCGTGTCTCGTCTTGCTTGAGGAGGACAGCTAGACTATTACAGCACATATATACATATTGTCTAGCCTCTGGATATATGATTGAACAGACAGACGAGCAGACACCAAGATAGTAAATGTCTCTGACTTTTGAAAGCACGTACATGAACATCAATGTCTAACGCGTTTTCAAAAAGTATACAATACCGATGATGACAATAGTGATATCATATTGATTAGAATCGGTAGCTACGGCGAATATGTATCAAGGAGAACAAGAGAAACCTTATAAAAACTAATGGTTCTAATCGAGAACAAAAAACATATATTCTACACTTATAAAGAAAAAGTTTGTTAGTAGACTGTCGTAACTCACCTATGTTGAATTTTATCAACAGTATCTTAAATGTCATTAAACAAACGAGAAGTAAAATTGAAGAAAAACTTTTAATAACTGATTCAATACACGTACGAGCAAATCAGACAAGACCTACAAAATACTAATATATTAGAAATATTAAGATTGCATAGTTTGTGTCGTCTGTTGATTGACCATCAACCAACAATAACTGATCATTTTCTTTCTTTTCTAGCAGATACTATTCGTTCTCGTTCTTTCTCTTTTTCTTACTTGTGTCGTTGAACATAAAAAAACATACAAAGAACAGCAAAATAGAGAGCGAGAAAGTAGTCGTCATCGTTCAAGGCCAGCTGATGGACTCTGTCCGCACATGTATGCATATACTTATAACTGTAAAAAAAAGAAAGAAAAAGAAAATGACGGCAAGAAAGAATAGAAAAAGAATTTGTTGCTGTGTTCTTGTTCGCCGTTGCGCTGTCGTCGAGTGTCGAGAGTGAACGACGTAATCTTGTCTCGGCATATAAAGCGAGACCACTTGACCAACTGAACTCTTTCTTTCGTTCATTCGTCGCTCGCTTGAGCCAGACAGCTAGACAAACACATAATCGGTAATTCAATTTGCTGCCGCCGGTGGCGCGGTCAAAGAGACGCGTCATCATCGTCTCCGGTTTTCTTTCTTTCCTTGTCTCACATACATTCAACGCCCATGGACATTGACCATCTGCCACAGCACGTAACTCATCGTCTTCCAATAAAACATAAGAGAAAATAATTATTCTCTCGCTTACACCGTTGCATCTGACCGGACCTTGCCCCTTGTATCTGTGTCTGTCTGTATCAAGCAGAAACGAGAGCGGTCACTAACCGATATCATGCTCTCATAAGTGTACATATGCATGTGAGTGTCTCTCTGTTATGAGTAAAGTGATTTGTTCACACGATGACGCTGTCGCGCCTAGTAATGTAACCTTTTATCGCGTTTGGGCGCTTGTACGTATACAGTAGGAGCTTGCTTTACATGAATACACTTTAGATAGACAGGCCGATAGAAAGAGATTACGTTCATCGCTCAGCAAAATGTTATCAATATAGGACGACGTGTACAAGACTTCTAACACATGCTTTCTCCCCTGTTATTCTCTCATCGGCAGCTAACAATCAATAGATACAAGCAGCCAGACAAATTCATAGACAAAGAGAAAAAGTGACCATTGTGTTGATTGAACAGTTGGATTGTGCAGATCACAATAGTACAAGTCTGGATTACGCTATGAAAATGACGATGAGATGATCTAATGCGATAGATCTCGTTAGGACATGTCTGTGTGTTTGTATGTTAAATCATCAAATGATAAGAATTCATTCAAACATGCAATTGATGAGAACTGAAAGACAAAATAACGCATTATGAATATTTCCAGACGATTCTTGTTCTTTGAAAAGATTTCTTTTCTTTAATGTGTATAGGTCACAATTACTTATTCATAGAGTCTAATTTGAGATTTACTATTTGTCTATTGTCTGGTGTATGATGATCATGGTCTTTTATTCAGATGATGAATGATGAAATAAATTCCCATGGTAATAATAATCTCTTCGATGTTTTTGTATAGTTTGGAACATAAAAGGAAAAAAAACTACTATGATTTTTTATCTATCATGAATCATATTTACAAATCGATTTAGTTTTATCTTAAAAAGTATTTCTTCGAGATTGATGAATACATTTCTAATATTGAAACTAAATCTATTTCGCCTGTTCTACTACGGTAGAAAGCAGTTTTCTTTTAAAAGAATATTTCATTCGAAAATAAAAATCATTGCGAGAAAGTATTGATCGTTTTCTTCATAATAAATTGTCATCAGTATAGTAGCTTTTTTATTTATAATAGCTACTTCTTTATTGGTATGGTTTAATAAAGATCAGCAATTGAGGACAATAAAGCAAAAGGCAGTTATATTCAATAAAATTTGTGTTGTTCTCAGCACTTCAAATCGATTGTATGTCAGTTTTATGAATCCAAAATTTGATCAAGTGCTCCACTTCTATTCATGACATGAAAAGCTATTGATTCGAAGCATATTATTGATTTAAAAATAGAATGTTTACGATCTGGTTAATGTTACATTGTTTTTATGCATCATGAATGTCGATTATAAGCATTAATAGTCAGCAAGCACATGTGTCTCATATTCCATTAAATATGCAGACAGTATTTTTGTTATCGATTGATAGAATGAATATCGGCTACCGAAATGTACACACTGACACGATCTCTTTTCTTGTCTTGGCAAGTCATTGATGGTAGACATAAAAGCAAATAAAAAAGAAAGTGTTATCGTTTAGTAACGACAGCGACAAAAGTCACTATTGTTCGTCTCTTGTTACTTTTATGAGAGATGTCTATGGCGATGCCTTTTTGATAACTATATTGACATAGGAAGACAACAGAAATGTCGTATCAAATTTTTATCATCAATTCCGAGTGTTGTTAATAAATATTCGAAATGAAATGTAATCAATATTAGAATATTAATGATTTTCAATCGAATTCGATGTATTTCATAAAGAAGAAATTTAGTTTGTGAAAACTAAATAGCCTATTCATTCTTCATGATCAGGCTTAAATCGATGTATCTATTGGTAAGATCGTCTGTCAAGATTGACAATTAACATAGTCGGTACATATTAAAGTGACTAGATACACGAAAGAGTGTCGCGATGATTCAATGCATCGGATTTAGACGAAATACGTGAAATATTTCTATTGGCAATTGATAAGCAAAATATTTTCAAGGAAATTAACACATAGTCACCTTTAAATGTATTCATGACGTTATAGATTATTGTCAAAAGTTAATTCAAAAACCAAGAATGGCTAAATTAAAACCATAAATACGTAAAAATAATAATATTAAAAAAAATTAAAAATATATCAATAAGTACTTCTTTAATTCATGTATGAACGAAAGACGATATATTTATGATTGCAAGATGATTAGCTAAAACGAATATAAGGCCTGACATAGATTTTTGAAGAAAAAAATCTTCGTTGATACTAAAAATAATTGATAAAATAAAAACAACTGTTTCATTATATGATTTTGCAGCGAAATTCGATATTGTATTATATATCTAACAAAACCGCAATACAATGTAGTTCATTTGAGAAACTATAATTTTTTTTTACAGCAAATGAATATTTTTTCGCTTGATAAACGAGTGCCTTTCAAAGAGAAAATGAGTTTTTTCATTTGAAAATAATTCGCTACTTCGAGTGAAATTTATTTAAGAATTCTTGAAGATCGAATCACAAAGCAATTCGACAACACAAGATGAAGAAGTATTAGAAAATCATCCCATAACACAATGGGAAAATTCTGACAATGATATGAATAAAACCTGAGGGTATAAGTGCGCATTAGCAGAAGACTCACACTCACATCCATAACCATGCATATTCTAGTATTTGTAATTTTTACATGTGTCAATTCTGATGTGAAAGTAGGTTGTGTTTTCTCTCAACAAAATTTTCATCAATCGATTCAATAAACAATTTTTTCATATAAATTAACTACAGAAATATTTATTTTATTTTACTCCGTTCAGATAAATAGTAAATCATGCTAATATCTGTATGATTATAATGTTGAATAACTTTCTTTTTTTCATTACCGGAATGTAAGATATTAGCGATTAGATAGACTATCATTTAAGACTTGTGTTTATAAAAAGTTTTTCACTACAAAAATGATTTTGTAAAGCATCACTTCAAAGAACTGATGAAACATAGAGTGAGAATTTACCATCATTTTCTCTTCCCATACCGAGCATGACCGATATAACATCAAAACTCAAGTCTACTGTCTATTTTTTCGAATTGCTAAACTGCAAGTTTTAATAAACATTTGAAGAAATTAATTTTATCTGAACAATAATTGAGAACAACAATCACCTCATAATTGGACCAGTATTAAAAAAATAATCTTTGACATGTTCTGGAAGTGAACAAACAGTGTCACTATACAAATAATATATTTTTGAACAATTAATCCGCGTTGTATCGCTTTTAAAATTGTGTGTAACGTTTTCGAGTAGTTGATGATTGGTAACAAGTACCACGCGGTATGGCAAACATGTTTTAGTATCCATTAAAAATTGTTCAATATAATTAGCATGAACTTCAAATAAATCGAGATTATTAAGATGAGGATATTTAACAATTGAGCAATCTCGATCATCATGCTCTGGTTTTCTACATTGTTTATTGTTTTGCGGTTTTAGATTAACTAATTTTAATTTTTTCATCAATGGAAATGACTGAGCAATACGAAGAAAAAATGCATGTGCAAAAGGTCGTTCATCAAACAATGATACTGCACAGACGCATTCAAATAATCCACCTGAAAAATTATTTGTTATCTGCTCGTACATTTTCAATTGATATGGATATGAATAAATATGACATCGACCTACTCTTGCCATTGAAAAAATTTCTGAATGTGCTTTGAATATTTTCATTTGACGGCAGATCAATTTGATCTTTAAGATCAATGCTTGAATGAATATTAAATGCAAATTTCTTTAATTGTACCATATGATCAATAATGTCCTTCAAATTGTTTCCATCAATAAATTTGTTTCTACCAACGATTTCAAAAGTCAAACTGAGTTCTTCTAAATTTAACATTCGATCTAGAAGCGGCACAATTGATTCATCATATGCATTTCGAAACAGATCACAGTATAGCACAAAGCATCTTAAATTAAGGAGTTTTCCCTAAAAAAAACAACATTATTGACTCGTTTAAAAAAGGTACTGAATGAAATAACTAACTTTATTTTCGATTAACTGTGAACGAGTAATTTTATTAATATTAACATGAAATGTACGAAGTAGATTGAAACGTCCATCACGTGAATAAAGACAATCAATGAAATTCTCCAAACTGACACGCAATTCTAATAGATTTTACGAAAAAATAGTTGGAGGAGAATTATGAAATGATTCTGTTCATCTTTTCTGTTATATTTGGATTGTCATTTAGACTCATATGGGCAACGAGTGATAAGATTTGACTTTTAAATGTATGAAATAAAAGTATTTGATCTAAATATGAATAAAATACATAAATATCAAGAAAAAAATAGCTATATCTAGCAACGATTCTTATCAGATATTCAAATTGATTATCTCTTTGCATTCTAATATCATTATATAAATATTGGTTTTATGGCTAAATTAGAGTATACGACGATGCACAGTGTTGCCGATTTTAATGTACTTATTATTTGTTCTAGAATTAGCGATAATTAAAATAAAATATCATACCAGAAAAGAGATGTTCTGTCATTTTTTGTTCAAGATTATGTAAACCAAGTCCATATAAATTAGGATAATTGGTGGAAAGAAGAATACGTGCCATTGATGACGATTCAACATTAAGCCATTCGATATGATGATGAATTTAAGGTAAAATTTGTGAACAAAATCTATGAAGTGTTGGGAAAGGTAATTGATAAATAGAATCATTCTGCTCAAATGTCAGTAAATCTAAATGACTCGTAAAATTTGTATCATGCAAAATTTTATTGAATCATTTATTAATGCCAAATAAAGAATACAATAGCGAAACATTGTTCAGTTTTTTGAAAATAATCAAAAGAATTTCATCGAGTAAATCGTTCAATTGAAGACATAGACATTCCATGTTTTTCTTCACTTGTATATTCCTCTGTAGCTTGCAATTCTCTCTATTGGACCGATCTCATCAGAGAAAATAATGATATAATTTTTACATAGTCTAAATCAAGAACGAAAAAAACGGACGAACAAATGTTACTAGTTCTCTCTTATTCTCGTTCAACATATTTGATATAATAATCTTTTTAAAATTATTGATTGCTTTTTCTATCGTGATAAAAAGAGATTTATATTTCAACAAATTAAATGAAGAGCTTCGTTGAATTTGTTCGCGTTGATAAACATTTATCTAGACGTAATCATTTTCATATTGTTTTTTTTTCATGTTAGATGACAGTGACAAGAGCTCCATTGTGAAGGAGCTTATTTCTCTGACGTGAGATTAAATTATCGATGTACTTGAATCACAATATTAAAGAAACTGTTAATATTTGACACGACTGTCTTAATTTCTGCTATTTTTATCTTTTGATTGTTGTTCTACATCAATATTTTTCTTACCAACTGTTTTGTTTTCCTGTAATAATTGCCATACTAATATTGAGTTTTTGATACAACTGTCATTATACGATCAAATGTACAGCTTTTTTTGGTACAATAACATCGTTTAATTCTTAAAAAGTTAATATATATATCATAGAGCGATATCCAATACAAATTCGAAACTTAGCTTTGAAACAAACAGAACTGAGTTCCTGTACACGTTTCAACTAGTTTGGTTCAGAATATTGAAAGATTTATTAATTGAGTTTACTTAATATTTTTGTAGAGATTATAACACTTGTCTAGAAGATTGTTTTACGCTTATATTTTACATTTAATCCATCTTTCAAACTAAATTATGTTCATTTCAGTCAAAGGTTGATTATCAAGTTTGTTTGATTGTTTTTTACAAATACATTTGGAATATATAGTGATCATAATAATTAGATGAAGAATACTAATATTGTAAAATTAAGCAAAGAGATTTTCTTACAACAATACAATATATCTAAGAAGTCGAGGCATTACTAAAATACGCTCCTACTACTATCTCATTCAAAGACACTATCAATCAATAGATCTTTAAATTCTGCATTCATGAAATCCAATGCCAACCCATGTAATAAAAACCGCATGAAAATCGGCGGTTAACCGCGGTTTTACCGGTCCGGTTACCGGCTCTCATTACCGCAGAACGGATAAATACCGCGGTTTACCATAAAAAATGAACTGGCATTTGCCGCGGTAAACCGCCGGTTTTGATTAATACTGCGGTTAACCGGTTCATCTATAATTTTTGACAGAAAAAGTCCTCCAAATCATCAATTAAACTATTTTAAAGATCTTTTTTTTAACTTTTACATGTGATAAACATGCGCAAAAACCGCCGGTTCACCGCGGTTTTACTGGTCCGGTTACCGGCTCCCATTACCGCAGAACGGAATAAATACCGCGGTTTACCGCAAAAATTGATCCGGTATTCGCAACATGGGAAGTTATTTTCTTTAAAACATATTTGGTAAAAGAACGAAATATCGTATCTATGAGTTCACTCGAAGCCACGATAGCTCACATCAACCCTGACTTAGAATACAATTGTGAAAATGATGTCTAATAGAAAATGGTTTGGTGTGAGGTCTCATCAACGAAATATTTCAAGTTTTATTCATTGACAATATCTTCGAGTTACACGACAATTGAAGTGGATTTTCTCTCCAATAATACATTTGTTATTAATGCGGTGCGAAGCAGAAGCATTTATGTAGTCCGTCGCGAGTTTTTTTAATTTTTACTCACTTGACGTAGGTATCACAAGTCGCCGTTTCGGTGTCGCAATGATCTCGAGAAGCGAAAGTCGTAGAAAAGTTGTTGAAACGTGAGATCGAAGTATCAAGATTGAACCTTTTACATCTGTTTTCGAATCTTTAAATTGAAGTTTCGTTCACTCAGAAATGTGGCTCCAAAATGACGAAAATGAAAGAAATTTATCAAGAGATAATTAAAGTGACGTCATGAACATATGGTAGCCACTATAGTCTATTCATTTACAGCTGATCTATGATAATGAATCATGAAGATAATTAATCGATCAATCGAAATGGATCCTTAAGAATGTATCGCTAAGTATGAATAGAGTTTTCCTCAGTGATGAATTTGATTATGGTTACATAAAAAGTATTCAAGATTTCTCTGAATTGAAGTTTTTTCCTGAAGATCCGATTCACGCTTTGCATCGGATTTCGTATTCAAGTGAAACTTGAATAACATCTAGTTTCTTTCTAACTTGAGTACGCATAAAAAATTCTCATTAAGTGACGCGATAATCTACAAAATCGTAGTTGATAGAAGATCCATTCAAACTAGATATGACAGCTTCAAGATCGAACTTGTTACATCTATTTTCAAATTTTCAATACTAAGCTTCGTTCGCCTAAAAATATCATTCAAAAATGATGATTTTATATTGTTTTCATCGTTAGAGTTTCGAGATACTAAAAATGATGTCATCAAGCCATAGTAGCCAATAGTCTATTTCTTCACATCTGATCTAAGCTAGTGAATCATTGAACTAATTTAATGTTCAATCAAAAGCATTCTCTAAGATTATGGTGATAATCACGAAAAAAAAGTTTTCTCAGCAATGAATTCTATTATAATTACTTGAGAATTAAAAAAAATGTAATGATTTTTTTGTTCTTAATTACAACTGCTGAAGACAGGAAAAGGTATATATTTCAAGCGAATATGAAGCTAATCAGGCCATAACGATGTCTAATTAATTTTAAGATTGCTTGTTCCATTTCCGTTAAATTTTTTATTTTTTCGTGTACTCGATTCGTGCTTCGCACCGCATTTCGTATACGAGTGAAACTCGAATACCATCTAGTTTATATTTATATATAGAAAAGTAAACCGGGATAAAATAAATTTCTCGTGAACCCCTCGTTCGCTTTAGGGACATTGACTTTATAGATGTAAATAAGCCTGAACATTGAAGATAGACTGATTTTAGCCGCTGAAGTAACTGATAGTGTAAATGAATGATCATGAGATTCATGAATGAGTAGTCATTTTAAATAGAATACTTATCAAGTGAGTTTCTTTTAATTCTTTGTAGAAAATCCAAAGACCATGTGGTTATCTACACTAAGCAAACACAAAATAATTCTATGGCATTGATTTATTTTCGTTTATTCATGCTACTATTAAAATTTTTTTTTCACAAATGAAGATTTCAATAAATACAAAAAATATAGTACGAAATATTACAAGTCATCATACGGTTCGACATGCGTTTTGTTCTATGTGACTATGAAGGTAATGTATCAAGAGTTTTATTTCCACAAAATAGTGACTAAACCCAAAACTCCTAAATTACCCCTGAAATATTTACTGCTTCAACCACGATATTCGCACTTTCAATTACTGATGTCAGCTTTCTTTTATCTCTTCATAATTAATGCACAATAATTAGCATGAATAATTTATTTCTCTGGCGGATTGCCGAGCAACTTGACTTGGTATTTCACTGACTGATAAAATCTCTATAAATATATGGCATAGTTGACATGAGAATTTCAGTTGAGATTGGAATGCGCGAAAAACATAATTAATCGAAAAAATATATTTTTCTTTTTTTTTCTGCTCGTGATAATAGATTATAGAAAAACAGAATAGAGAAGAAATGCTTCTCAGATAAATTCAATGTCACCATGTCCCCATAGTTAAAAAAATAGGCAGAGTGGAATTATTTAAAAACTCATTGTAAAAAGATGCAAGGAATAATTCTCAATGTAAAAATTTCTAAAGTCAGATCTCAACAAAAATTCTATTAAAAAAATGAAGATTAAAACTATTCCAAACTCACCTAAATTCCGAACTCGCCTGCCACATATATATTAGATACGAATGATTTTTGTATATCTATATTATGCTTTTACATACGCGTATAAAATAAATGGTTGAATGCGTTACTTATGTCTTTTAGCTGAAGAATAACATATGTCGTGACAAACGCCGTTTTCTATTTCTATTTCGATATGCGGAAAAGAAAAAAGAAGGACAGTTTGTACGATAAAAAAATTCACTTTTAGATGCATCCTACTAGGTACTGAACAATTAGATATTTTCTTGTCTTTTATTCATCGCGTATAATATCCCAAATTAGTAGCTATGTACATGTTATCAAGTTTGCATCTTTCATAAAGAAATATTCTTACCGTTTTTTTTTAAATATTCGAGTACCTTTCTAGGATTTTTAAAATTTTGTAAGATTTCTTTGTTGCCAAAAGCAAGCTAATTATTTCTCCATTGAACATAATGGTACCACAAACAGGCAATATGAGCAAATAACAAACTAGAATAATTCAGACGCTGAACTTAAAAAAGTTGTGATCGAGATTTTTATTTTTCGTTAATTGTTGAAAAAAAACTTTTCTGGCCTTACGATCTCCAATGAAACATTGTGATACATTCAAAGAAAAATCTGTATTAATTTGCAGCATTTATGTGAGATCTTTGTTCTATTGAATATTTCCAACAATTGATACTTCTTAAAGATCCTGTTAAGGATCTTTGCATTGAAAATGGATATATGTATGAATCCAGATGCGACAAAAGTCTATTTACAAAATCTTTCTTCCTATAGAATAGAGCAATGCTATCTTCATAATGTTTCTTACGTGAGCATGAATAACATTTTTTTAATATTTCGATTCGCTTTATACTCCAGTGAAGCGGAAAATCGGTAGTCGTCGATTTTGTCTCGCAGTGATTTGCATTCAAAAAAAAAAATAAAACTTGTTATTGAAGTTGTGAACGTGTTTAAAATAAATAAATTACATCAGAATACAAGTCTAACATAGAAACATAGAAACAAAAGCGAGATAAACCTATTATACCGATAGCAATCAAATCAATATTTTCTGCTGACAGAAAAAAAAGAAACTTTCTCAAGCGAATGATTATATTGTCTTCTCTCAATAGAAATACAGCACTAGATCAAAATGTGAGAATTTTCAAGAAAAAATTTCTAACTGCAGTATATACTATTTATGATGTTAGAAAACAAATGCTAATTTAACGCTTTATTAAAATTCTAATTTACTATCGACAAAATAGAACGCCCGATTTTTATTTTGAAATAGTCCCCTGTTTCTACGCGTAACCGCACAGTGAATATAGTTCATTTTTGTACGAAGGTTTCAACCGCTAAAGCGAAACAGTGGCAAATTCACAAGCCTCTTCAATTCTCTTTTTCACGGCTGAATAGCTATGAGCACATGCAAGTGGAAAATTGATGATGAATACAGAATTTTATGATTCATATTATTTTAATCATCGCAAATAGTGCATGAATCGAAAGAAACAAGAGCGATTTTGACCGTGAAACATTAAATTATCCAATAAGTCGTCAAGCGTATCGTTTCTCTTTAATTTGCACGCGATTATTACAATTATTTTATGTAACTAGCGTCTACAAAATCTTTTTATACAATTAATCGGGAAATATTTCGACGTCATATCAATAATCAGCGCACATTCGCCACAAGGATACAACAGTTGAAATACTCCCATTTTTAACGACAAATTTTACTTGTGATTTCGGTTCGATAGATATGATACTTTTACATAGTAAACAAATCGTATATGCCTTTTCTATTATTCTTATAATCATCGTGGCTTATAATTTTGGGTACTACAATGCAGAAATAAAATATGCATTTCATACGATTTCAACTGCAAGCCGTATACAGATATCACCTAGTGTTGTTGTTTTGTCAACGGCTGCTCCTATTTTAAAACCGGAGCAAACAAATGCTGAAGTTATTGCAGAGCCTTCTACAATAAAATCATCAAAACAAAAACCTACCGTAGTTCACCTAGCAGTCGTCTTATCTTTATCCAAACAGACCAGTCATATTGCTGAGTTCTATTTGCTATATGAATCATGGCGATTTCTTCATAATTTTTCGCCTCTCTCACAACAGATTGTAGTTGATTTGATTGTATTTTGTGAACAACCGAGCTGTCATCAGTTGCCATCAGCTTGTATACCTCTTTCTTACAAGAAAAAGGTAGATATGATAGCCACGTGTTTCCATGAAATATTAGACGAAAAAATAGTTCAAAAATGGAATGATTATTTGTACATGACATCGATTGAATTCATGCTAACTAAAGAATATCGAAAAGCAACCGCCGATTATGACTGGATTTTGCGTGTCGATCAAGATGCTATTCTAAGTCCTGGCTTGCTAATAGGTTTGGCTAGAAAGCATCCAAGAAAATTATATCCTATGCAATTTGGAGGAATTGGCCATGGGATTACGTTTACTAAAAATCGGCTACGAAACATTGCAAAGAAACTCGGCTACAATCATGCTGGTATACATGACTTATGTTCAACATGGCTAGTCAACCCAAAAGACTCGGTGAAAATTGCAAATCTAACAACCATTATTGGCAGACATATTTTGAAAAATGAATTCGGTGCTCATGTACCTGGTAAGAAACAGATGATTTATTTTTTTCTTTCGATTGATGAACTACGTCCTACAGCACCTTTCGGAATTATAAAGAGAGAGAATTCTTCGAGAAAAAGAAACTATTTGCGAAGATATTCAAATATAAATGAATGATCCAGAACATGCAGATAGTAGGAGTAGATGTTTTTGATTGTAAGAAAACTTTTCACTTAAGAAATGAACCTGTTGTTCCATAGACCCTAATCGATTGTAATGTTTCATGGAGCCGCTTATAGATTTAATTTAAAATTCAAGTACAGATACTAAATTACTAGAGAATTCATCCTGAAAGAACAGCCATTGGTGATGAATATGAAGATATAGTTTGAAAAAAGTGAAAATCATACTTTTCTTCTGTATTTATTATAGCTAGTGGAAACCCACACTCTCATTTAATATGCGACTAAAATTTGCTTAATTACTTAGGTATTGAAAGTTTGCCTGCTATTGGCGAATGGCCCAAATGGTGGCGAGGGGTAACATCGTTATATGCTGCTGAAATCGCCATCAATCATATTTATTCATCAACTCTTGGCCAGCAGCATGAATCTCCTGCAATAGATACTCCGTCATTTGCAGAAAGTTCAATATGGAATGCTTGGCACATTCATTGTTTACATAACGAAGATTATTTTTCGAAATTCAAACATCGCGATGAACTACATAAATTTGTAGGAAGTAAACAGACAGATCGAATGCAACAAATACTCAATGTTACATCTAGAGATAAAATTCTATTTGAAACACTACGGGAATTCGAAACGATAAAAGTGAACTATAACATAAATGAGAGTAAAGTATCAGTTCGTGATTATGTTATAGCGTTGGCGTGGAAAAAATCTTATTCTGCTACTGCTGCAATTAATTTAGACTAAAACTGTACGCATTTTTATCAACTAGCCATATATTATTGTTGTATATTTCAGTGGGCTTATGCTTAAATCAATCATTCAGTATCGAAAATAATATTGACTAAAGGTATACTGTCACGATTTAAAATGGTATAAACGCGTACTCATACAAACCATCATTATGAAAGTGATGTTGAAAGAAATTAAAAATCTTCACCATACAGATTTTATCTCGTTTATCTCATTCAAATGTAATCAATACGACTGATGTTTAGAAAACAAAACTAGTCTATTGGTTTTTGTTTTTTGGAAAGCCATAATTATCTTTCAATATTAATATTTTAATCTCTTATTATTTGTTTGTTATTTCGTTGTTTTTTGTTCCATATCGCCAAAAGTGTAGTTATTGCCATCGCTTTTTCTCACATTCACGTTCTTGACATACTGGTGTTCTTATTTTATTTAATGCTAATTTTAATAAAAAATCATAGAATATATTTCTCATTTTTTTGAAATATCCATGAGGAATTTCAATTGTATATTGATTTTTTCTAGAAACTTTATATAAATAGTAAGTATATGCAACAATAATCAAATTAGATAATCTTTTAGATAGAAATATCTATCGAATCTTATTCATAGAATAGGTAAATTTTCTACTCGGGTTCGACAAAGTTTTTCAGTTGTCACGAAACGAAGAACAATACGTCTAAATTTTGCTAACGTAATAAAATAAAGAGGAAACGATAGTATATGATATGTATAAAGAAGAGAATCCAATAAATGTAAGATAACATAACTTGCAGTACTCGCAAAAAATCCATAACAAACAGTTCCTGGTATAGTCATAGTTAAGAAAAGAACAGTAGTTATAACAAGTGTTATCGTTATTGAACGATGTTGAATACGTCGATGTTGTATTGTAGTGACTTGATCGGCACGAATAAGATGATAAATAACCCCGCTGTCGAATGCAACCATGAGTATAAATGGTATACAATTATATAAGCCTAAATTTACATAATCCCACATAGGATATACTTCATACCATTGAGCATTAGGACTAATACTTCCATCGGTGTCGTAGAAGCAAGCAAAAAGAAGAATATGCGCATTTATGATTGTGAAAACTATACTGTTCGATGCAATAATAATGAGAACATTTTTTGAGTGACTGAACCATTTTCTTTCTAGGCAACTCAGTGATAAATAACGATCCAAACAAATAAATACACGTAACCATGCTGACATTTGCGGAGTAAAATAATTGAGAAATGAGCAAATTTTACAAAATGGTACGGAATAAAGTTGAAGAGTATATCCATGTGCTTCAAGTAGATAATGACCCAAATTCCAGCCATATAACATAATTATATCAAATATAGCTATAGCCCGCATATAATGAATGGTTAGTTTTGCAGCTGTATTTTTAAATGCTGGCTGACAAAGAATAATAAATGTAAATATATTCAATGGATAGTAAGCAGTAAAAGATGCCCTCGTCTCATTTTTCAAATTGATGAATGTATTGTTACTACTGTTCGTCATAGTTGAATAAGATAGAATGTTGTAGTTTGACGGGTAAAATGCAGTCAATCCGATGAGATTAAAAGAAATTTATAAGAGCTGCATTCTTTTCTTATTTTACCATTAAAAGCTGTGGAATGGAATACTTCGAGGAGAGAATGGGGCTTAGAGGTGAATCTTACAATATGCTCAGCTTGATCAATGACTGCAACATCATAAGATAATCTGTATCTTTAAGCCTCTGTTATTTAAAATAAATGAATACTTAGAAGTAATAGTTGAAAAAGAGAAAAAAACGCACGCAGGATTTCTTCTAGAAATTTCATTACTACCATAAAAATAGATTTTGACAGGTTATTTAATGCGGTGCGAAGCACAGCATTCATGTAGTCCGTCGCGAGTTTTTTTTTCGTTTCTTTCTAACTTGAGTACGCATAAAAAAATCAGATTAAGTAGCACGATGATCTAAAGAACCGTAAATGATAGAAAATCCATTCAAACTAGATATGAAACTATGGAGGCCGAGCTTGTTACATCTTTTTCCGATTCACAATAGTAAGTTTCGTTCGCCTAAAAATATGATTCGAAAATGAAGGTTTTGAAAGGTTTTATTGTTTGATAGTTTCGCGCTAATTAAAATGACGTCATCAATAGTTGTTAACCAACAGTCTATTGCTTTACATCTGATTCAAGATAATGATTCATGAAAATAATTAATCGTTCAATGAAAAAAATCGTTAGAAAACTGGTTGTTACATTTTCAGAAAGATCTCCTAGTGATGAAATTTAAAATGGTCGATTTAAGAATAGTGAATGGGAAATTTTTATTCAAAATCGGTATACGGAAATTTAAAAAAAATAATCGATTCTAATGAATCTTAAAGCGGATCAATTATTTTTTTTAAATCTTATTCTCACTACTTTCGAATATTCGACTCGTGTGCTTCGCACCGCATTCCGTAGTCGAGTGAAACTCGAATACCATCTAGTTACAACTCTTATCATTTCACATATCATTTATAAACATATTGAAATTAGATGTAGACATTATTCTTATCTTTATTTTGAGTGATATACCTCAAGTGATTTTAGTCGATTTCAGCCTGACTTCAACTATATTTTTTTTCAATGGTGAGACTTGATTTGTCTAAAACGTTGAGCCTACCCTAGATCGAAATCGTTCCGCCGCCTATACATCACATGTATGGGAATCTTTCGATCGAGACGCTATAAAATCACGCAAAAATCCTCGGTGACAATTATGATCACATCGACTCAATCATGAGACAATTAAAAGCTAGTAGACAATTGAAACAGCAAATGGCCAGGTATATACGGTTAATGATCGACAGAAAATCCATTTGCTAGATTTGCACTTTGTTGTTACAAGAAAAAATTTCAAATGAAGCAGAATCTTTCTCTCAAAAGAGAGTAGGTTGCTGTTTAGAAAAAAATGTCAATTCAGAATTTTTGTTTGCAGACGAATGATGGATTAGCGTCATTCTTAGTTAAAGATAATGCTGCTTTTCATTATTACTACGGTGCACATGTCATGATATAAAGAGAATATCTTCAATATCGATTTCACAATCAAACGCATCATAGAATAATTCTGCAAGTTTAAGTGACGCGAGCCATGCATTTTCTTCTGTATTGTTTCTGATGACGAATAGAATTAATTTTTTTCCTTTGGATTTTGCATAATGCAATTCAGCATAAGAATGTTTATTTCTCGAATAATTTTCATTGAAAGAACCAATGCAACATCAGCTATGTCTATATAGGATTTGAATTGCGACGCAGTTGATGATGTTTCACAAATAGAAGAACCTTCATTGATTAAACAATCAGTTATACGACTGCAAATAGGTTGATCCTGTTGGGAATAACTAAAATAAATATTATCAGCCTTTAGATCAATTGGATTTCGACGAGTGCTTGCTCGACTGGAAGTTCTAGAAGGTACAGATGGTGGAATTTGTAATGATGCTTTTTGTTTCAAGATTTCCGACATTAATTGGTATTTTTCGATTGTTTTGTCTACATGTAAAAAATTGAACCAATTAATTGCAAACAAGAATTATTGATCAGATCGATGTTTGGTAATACTGATTGATTTAAGCAATATTTATGCAAACGCATTTATTACATGTTGATCCCATTGTCTTAAATCGATTTAATAACTTAAGGTTTTATTTGCCGAAATATGTTTTTGAACGTAGCTATCTATTTTATTTCCACATTTAATAATATTGAAATTCGATGATATTGCGTCTGTGATTTGAATCGCTATTTAAACAAAATAAAATAGATGATGAATTTGGTGTTACTAGCTACAGAGAAATAGTCAATGGTGGTATTTGGAAGGGAGCTACCAATGTCAACTCGTCTCGAACATAGTTGATATTGGAGAAAAAAATTGACTAAAACCATCTCGATCAGTTTGTAAAGCAATAAATATTCGATAAAATTCTTCATAGAAATGTTTTTGCCGACCACTAAAAATGAAGAGAATTTGCCAATCAACTTTTCTTATCTCAAGTTCTTGTTTAACTATATTAATTAGGCCATTGGCTAATTGCTGTTGATGTTCCACACCAAAATTTTCCCATTCATTCGTGAGAAAGGCCATTGCTTGTACAGGCGCACAACAAGTTATAATACTTTGTAAAGTAGGAGAAATAAATTTTTCAATGGATCGCTTGAATTTTTTATTCATTGTATCATCATTTGATATTCTCGGTGGCCAGCGACGAAATAGAAACTGTCTGCCTGCTTTCATTTCAAAATATCGATTGGCGCTCATGTATTCAATGCGCTCGTCTGCGGGCTCCTGCTGGAAATGAAATGATTGTAACATCTCTCTAAAATAAAATAAAATGCTATTTAAGTGTGAACACGGAGAAATCGAAATCTTTTATTTTATCTCACCGGTGTAGAATTGCTCTACTTTGTTAAATAAATTTCTATTGAACCATTTAATACTGATGTTTTCCTCGTTGATAATGATGAAATAAATTCATTAGATTGTTGAATTGTCGACTTCGATATATTCGATGATAGTGATAATGCTTTTGGAATTGAATGAACTTTCAATTCAGTTTTTCTATTCGACAATAATTCTTTGTAGCAATTCGATTGAATATTTTATTGTTATCTCCACTCAATTCTATAGATATTTCCAATTTTTTTATATTCAATCATAACGGTTTGAATCATAAGTTCAGCTATTTTTTGTTTAATATAATCGATTAAATATTGTGGAGAACTAAACTCCTTTGATTGTATTCATATTTTGACACAACCATCTTTATATTCATTTTTTATAGCTTTCAGTTGTTCAATACAGCTTTCCAACACTAGATATTCATATTAGAATAAATATCACAGAATCATTCTTTCTTTAAAATATTTAAAACAAAAACAGATCTACTTGGTATGCAATCATTGTTAGTTGAAATGTTTATTAACAAGCGATTGTAATTGCTTTTTAGTCTTTCTGACTACATCTTTTCTTCCAAACGAACTAATTCTAATATCTAATTTATATGGATATTTACAATGAATAATAGCTAATTCTGGATGTTGTCAGCTAAAAATAAATTGATCGATATTGTTCAAAAAAGTTTTGGTTTTGCCGTCCGGCATAACAATATTTTCAAGAAAAACTACTTCATTATTTTATATTTCTGTATGTTTTTCAAAGAAATATCTTATTTCAATGCGAGTTGCTTTTCTACTAGACCTTGAATTTTGATTGCAATAGAATTTCAATTCATATACTGATTGGTAAATCTTAAATTTCTTGTTACTATATCTCATTTTTTAATTGAATATTGATTACAAGTTATACTGAATCTGTCATTCATCTTCTGCTCTTCACTTTTGCACTTAACCAAAGCTGATCGTTAAACTGTGAGTCTTTATGTATTACATTCTACTTTCGAGTAAAAACAATTATTTATCATATTGCTTTCATATGACAGAATACGAAAATCTGACATACGTACGAAGTATTTATCATGTGTTTGAATATTAAATTTCTTTTCTTCAGAAAGAGCAAGATTTTTTTTTCTTTTGCTATAATTAATATCAGTCACATTGATACGTCGAAAACATTGATAAATATGGCTTTCTCGCAATCATTGTACATATTTCGTGTTATTTATCTTGCAAGTTATGGTTCGTTAGGCATGCTTTTTATTCGCATAGAACAGACGAAAAAAAGGTGCAGTATTCATACACTCGTTTTTTCATTGCATACAATCACAAGCTTCCTAGTACTTTCTTGTGTATCAGCTCTATAAGCAATGGATCGCATTCGTTGGAGTGAGAAGTCGATGCCATTCGGAAGTATTGTGAACAATCCGAATATAACAAAACCTGTGCTTGGTAATTTTTCTCGTATTAATATTTATGGAAAGAATCATTTTTTTAATTTTCTTAGTGCTTATTGGTAATAAGCCTATTGTGGTAGGAGAAAAAATCAGTGGTGAATTTATAACGGCATCACCATGTAAAGTATCTGGTGATCGATTTGATGTGTTAGAACAAGAAATTGTTTTATCAAGCAAACATACAGGTTTTTCTTTTTCATATATATATATATATATACTAAGCAAAATGATTACACAACTTGAGTCTAGGTCTATGGAGAGTAATATCAAGAGCAACAACTCAAAAAGAAGGTCATATTCATCGTTTAACGACGAAAGACATTGAAAGCGTTCACAAACAAGATAGTCTCAATAAACGTGACACTCCTCGTTCATATATTTCTATACGAGAGATTGAAGCATTTGAATTGATTGCTCGTAGTAACAGTAATAATATGCTTTTGTTCTATAATTCAGTTACTCTTTCTTTGTGTTTGTTTTATCTAGGCGCAGCTGTTGCTAGCGGCAAGCAAATAGAGCGACGTTTGAAACCAATTGAAGAGAATGTTGAATTTGAAATTACTGATGCCACTGAAGTTGAATATACGCCATCCGAAGGCGAACGTACATCACAAGATTATGTAACTCAACCGAAAACTAAACAGCCACTACTTCTATCACTTCTTCTACCCGGTGTTGTTGAACATGAACAAGTGATACGTAATCGTGTTTTGCGAGCACTCCATTGTGTCACTAAAGGTGAAACTCGTAAACGGCACTTTCTTGTTGAAATTAATGAACTACCGTGTGAAATTCGTCCGGTTGCATCAGAAGGATCAGCTGAACTACGTTATATTCATTCGACACAAAATCTATTTGATTATATATTAAATCATGGAAATGATACAATACTTTATGTTAAATTACTTCGAGGTAAAGCGAGAAACGCTTTCGTCATTTTTTTCTAATATTTCTTCTATAGGCGATCCACCAATGAAAGCCGTTGAATTCGATGGCTATATGGTTTTAAAAAGTATAATAAGCGGTGATAAAATACCTATATGTCGTGTTGAAGATCTTGAAATAACACTTGTTAATCCTGATCTTCCTGTCAAAGTTCGATTACCACCAAGAGGCGAATATTCATGGCATGACTTGCCCGAAGTTCGTGCAGCTGAAGTTCAATGTGTGCAATTATCGCTTGCTTTATTTGCTCGACATGAATCTGAAATGTATATTGCAACAGAAAGACAAAAAAGTAGAAAACAAAGTTATTCAGAGCCCACCTATAATCAAACATTAAGAACAAGTAATTCTCATAAATCCTTCAACGCAGTGAAAAAACATCGTGAAGAATGTGAAAAAGTTTTTGGGAATAATAATAGTAGTAGTAGTAGTAGCTATGGTACAAAAACAAGAACGTCAGCTAAAGACGATAGATATACACAACAAGCACCAATTAGCAATCAAACGCTTTTCAATGGAATGGTTCATAGATATGATGCTGTACAGCCGCGTGAATGTTCATCTGCTCAAAACAAAACACATTCAGTGTTGCCATATCATGATCGTGGTAAATACAGTCGAACAGGTACTGAACACGAAAAATTAGATAAACGCTACGACGAGCAAGATTCATATGATCATATTCAACGTACGACCATAGAAGAAAATCCAATACATGCTAAGTCAAACAAAAATAAAAGCAGAACCTCTGCGAATGCTAAGGAAGAAAAAATTTCCGTTTATAATAAGCACCAATAATATTTTCTATTTGTGTTTGTATCTTTTACAACAATAAATCATGTTGATTGATCAGTGTTTGTTTGAATTGAAGTCTGAAAACAAAAACATGGAAACTTGTCGGAAGATTTTTGGCACATCGAACAGAAAGGGAAATATTTAAACTTGAAATTTATTGTAGTCGAGGTGTCCGTAGAAACAAAATGTTAATCAAGAAGTGGAAACAGCAGAAAAATAATTATTATTTGTATCTTTTTAGTAGTAAATAATGATGAGTTTATTTTTCTGGTGATTATCAAATAAAATTATGTACAATGATAAAAAAGAAAAACTGAGAATCATTATCGAACGAGCAGAAAATGAAAAAAATCTCTCTTTTATTTTAATGAAAAAACATTCACTCAATTATTTTATTGCTTTTTATTTCTACCTTTTTTTCTGTTCTTTTCTTTCCTTTTTTCTTCCTCGCAACAACGTAGATAAGTATTGAAATTGTTGTGACATGCATATAAGTTGTCGTCATTCTTATTCAAAGTCATTTAAACGCACATCATGCCTCACAATGCACCACGAGATCCATGTCGGTAAGTGCAATGAAAAACTACTGTAAAAATTAGTCACAGCAGAAGAAAATCATTTCAGCATTGTGGATTCAGATAGCGAAGATGAGAGAGACAACCAAGTGCGTACCCACATACAATTCCTAACAAGACCAGTAACGCCAAAAGTAAAATTAATATCATAGTTTATTCAATTTATGTATTTTATTTCGTTGCTATTAAATTTTATATCAAAACAACAGCCACCACGCATAGCTGATTGGAGTTCACCGACAGATGAGCCAAATTTTGATAGTAGGATCGAATGTTTTTTTCTTTTAAAATAAATTTAAATTATTAGAACCACAATATCCTGATAGAACTTTTAATACGCCCATTGAAAATGGACGTTTACAACCAACAAGTCGAATATCTTCTGGGTCCTCAACGTCCGCTTCATCGTTAGAACCTACTAAACCGCAACTCAGTTTTTCCGTATCGACTACTACACCTGAATCTCCTCCTGTTCGTAGTATCCAACAAGTCGAAGTGTTTTTTTTCTATTGTTCAATGTATTGCTTCTAGACATCTCCGACTACTGCACAATCATCAAATTTTGATCCAGTCGCATTACTTCAAGGCGATATAAATCAATTTATCTATACAACTGTTCCAAAAGATTTTCCATCCTATGTACAATGTCGTCTTCGACGAGACAAAGATGGCGTACAAGGAGGTTTTTTCCCGACATTTTATTTACAAGTGGAACGCCCTAGCGATAATAAAAAAGTATGACTAACATAATAATAATAATAATAATAATTTAAAAGCTTTTGTTCTTTAGTTTTTTATATTAGCTGCAAGAAAAGTAGCAAAAGTTAATCGGCAAATAGAATATGTTATCACAACTAATGTTGAAACTTTATCAAAAGGTTCCGATGGTGAAGGTTGTGTTGGTAAATTACGAGGAAACAATATGAGTGGAACTGAATATACACTCTTTGATAATGGTTCAAGTCCAAATAAATCTTCTAGTAAACATTCGAATAACAAAGAAGATTTAAGACGCCAGTTAGCTGCTGTTGTTTACGTACGTATTTATATAACACATGTGTAAAGTTCGAGGTAGTCAAAATCTAAACTAGAAGCCATATGTTTTAAATGAGTGTTTGGCTTTCGAATTGCAACTAATATCAAGCGCATGTGTGATATTGATATTTGAACAACGCAAAGCATTATTTTTTGCTTTTTTTCTACAGGAAAAAACATCAAATAATATTATAGATAAAGAAATGTTTTTCCCAGGTTTTTAAAAATTCTCAAGGCCAATGGGGCAGCTACTCTGAGTTAAAAAAGAGAATAGGAAAGAATTGAAATGCCAATTTTACTGTTACCTTAGTGAAATGACAAGCATAAAACATTGCAAAAATCAATGCCTATAATTGCATCCTTTATTGCTTTCAAGTGAATTTTATGAATCATGAAACACGAACTCAAACGTTGTCTTTTCTACTTAATCGATACGGGCATACCTGTTGAAGTTGACTTAAACATCATTCTGTAAGATAAGAATTCATAATAAATAATTGTCAACGGATAGAACGTTATCAGAGAAAATCTCAAAATTAATTTCTTAAGTAAAGAAAGCACTGTAGAAATTAAAAGTAGTCGTAAATACAAAACATCTATACCGAAATTTAGAGTAAAATCTGATGTCGATGCTTTTTTTTCTTATACTTAATTGTATATTAACATGTGCGCAATTTTCATTTCGATCTCAGGAATGTTTCTATAATGATTCAGTCAATCTCAAGATTTCTTGTTTAAAAGAAAGAAATAACAAAACGCTCAACTATAAAATTGTTTTACTTAAAACTTCTTCAAACCATTATTCACTTGCTTCAAAGATGCATATAATTATATATAGATTCGTGTTATTTCTGCCATTCGATAAGAATCCTAAATTAACTCTAAAATTCGAAATCATACAGGAAGATATGGAATTTTCTATTGTGCATTAGCCATTATACTACTATATTTTTGTGAACGAAGCTAGAGCGCTTTGGTACTGAGAATAATCCGGAACGAGAAGGGCGGTTCCGGTCCATAAAAATGAATAAGCAAAATCTATTTTTCTACCGTTCCCTGGAAAGTTTCATTAAAACTAGCGACTTTTTAATGAATATTCTCGATCCAACAATTAATACATTTGCTTTTATGTCAACTTCAAGATGTCATTCTGTTGAAAGATTGTTTTTGTTTCATTTTCTTCATAATAACAAAAACAAAAGAACGAAGAATAACTCAAAGTCTACTTGATTTGTAACGAAAATATATATTGTAACACGTATTCAATTTATTTTTGAACTGTCTGCGAATCAGCTGTGCAGACACATTTCTTTTGATAATGAAGAATTGTTCATTTCTGTACAAGTGCACCTCGTATACATTGTCGATGTATTTGACTGGGATAAATAAAGTATTCCTTCTTGGCGCATTTTAGAGGCTTAAACAAATGAGTTCCAGTTCACATTTTAGTGCCATGCGAATGTTTACGATTGACGGTTGCCACTGATACATTGATTGATGACTGAAATTTTGACAACACAGAAAACAATAGAATAGAATTCGTAGATAAAAACGAAAAGAAAAAATAAGCAAGCATCTCGTAAATTTTCGATTGGCAGTTCATCTTTGAAAACAGTGATTTTCTATATTGACGAATTTCCGTGAATTAGAAATCGAACATTTCTTTACATTTTAGAGTGTGAATATTCTTGGTATTAAAGGACCAAGACAAATCAGTGCTATGATACCTCAAATAGGGCAAGAGATTCAGCCAGCAAGAGTATTTAAAATAAACTCTATTTTCAACTTTTATCTAATTGATTTATGTGAATATTATTAGCACGAGTCCGGTATTCTTGAACATTGGAAAGATCGACGACTCAACTATTTTATTCAATTGCGAAATAAATCACCCAAATATAATGAAGGTACACGAGCGTTTTTGTTTCGGAACAATAACTGCTATTGCGTATATCTTTAGAAACAAAAGCTTATGTTCTTCAATTTATTGGTAATCGTGTGGCCAAGCCATCAGTGAAAAATTTTCAAATGGTTATTGAAAATGAAAATCGTATGTTGATTTAAATTTAAATTTCATCAGTAAACGTCATGTGCTTGATTTAGATGAAGAACAAGTAGCTATGCAATTTGGCCGCGTCGATAAAGATATATTTTCATGCGATTTTCGTTATCCACTTTCAGCTATTCAAGCATTTGCCATTGCTCTCAGTTCTTTTGATAGTCGACTTACAAGAGAATAATTCTCTGTTAATAAATAAAATTATTCTTTAGATTGTTTTTGTAAACAGTATTGATGAACATGCAAATACATAGAAATGAGTATAATTTTGTTAAACACTTGGTTATCATTGATAAATGTGAAACAACAAATAAATACATAAAATTAATGATAGGCTTCTTTAATAAATGAATGTTTCGTTTTTTTAGAATCAAAAAAATAAAATGTGAATTACTAACATCATAAATCATACCGAAAAAAGAAAAACACTGTCAGTGTTAAAGTTTGAATCAATTGATAAATTCTTCAAGTTCTAATCCAACAAATTCTCTTCGGATTAATTCAAAGGACACTTCAATAACAATAAAGTCATTTCAGTAGTGAGAGTTTATCATCTTATTCTATTGTGCAAATAGCTCCATCTTTCGTTAACAAAACCGATTCTTTCCAATGAGATAGAAGAATCAAGTCTATATAAACATGATGGATGGATGGATGGTTGTATCTTTCTGTGTTTGTCCGGCCGTTTGTTGTTATTTTGTTTATTGTTAGAATCACACCATTGTTTTATCGGTCTCCTTAGATATTATCATATCAATAATTTTGCATACTTTTACACCAAACTCGATAGTACTATAGGCGTATTCATTTAATAATTAAGTATAAACAAAAACGTTGCTCGTTTGGTTGGACAGAAGTCGTTTTTAGATTAACTTTTTTTACATACGGCTTCATTTAAAAAAAATTTTTTTTCTAGATGGCCGCCGTTAATGTATATCACACAAGTGTAACAACAGATAATCTTAGTCGTAATGATATTCTACAATGGATAAATACAGCACTTGAAGCTAATTTTATTAAAATTGAAGATCTTTGTACCGGTAAGATGAATATAGATATATGAGTAATAAGATAAAACATATTATTTCTTTATTATCTAGGCGCTGCTTATTGCCAGTTTATGGAAATGATGTTTCCAGGTAAATTAATCGGCTTATATTAATGCACACAATTGTAATTAATCTACTAACTATTAATGAATATTTTGCATTTCTAGGAGCTATCGGTACACGATCAAAACGGGTTAAATGGAATACAAAACTTGAACATGAATATATTAACAATTTCAAAGTACTTCAAGAATATTTTAAAGCGTTAACAGTCGATAAGGTAGAAAATGATGTTCTAGTTGAAACATTTAAGTAGTAGTCTCGTCTTTGTTATCAGTCACTCGACATTTAACATAAGAGAGATTATTTACTGATGTGAACCAAGTCTCTAATTATTTCTATATAGATTGTACCAGTTGAAAAATTAGTCAAAGGAAAATTCCAAGATAATTTTGAATTTGTTCAATGGTTTAAAAAATTCTTTGATGCTAATTACACTGCTGCACATGATTATGATCCAGTAGCTGCTCGAGATGGACAGTAAGTTACAATCATATTTTTTTGATGTTTCTTCTTAAAACAACATTGTAATTTTCTTAAAAGGCCAATGGGTAACGGTAAGACAAGCAGTACTGCCAGTTCAGGTATTCGGGCACCACCTGTCTCTCGACCGGCACCAGTACGAGCGGCTCCACCACCACCACCACCACCAGCCGCAAGAGCACCAGTTGCCAGTAAGTTTTATGTAATTAATATTAGAACTATCGATTGCCATCTTTCGTTTTTCTATGAAACAATCTATACAAATTTTAAGTAGAAGGCCTCTTGAATAAGAAACAATGGAGTTTCTAGATTCTTAAGTACTATGCATGCTGACTGTTTTGAATCGTAATGTAAATACGTCATTTTTGCGCAAAAATTTTATAACTAGCGATTTCAGTATGATATATTGGATAGTTTTTAAAAATAGATACTTTTTTTCTGAATACCCTAAAATATCTTATTTTCGAAGGCTCTTCCAGTTCCAATTGAATGAAATCCAAATTTTAGTTAGGCTAAAATTTACAAATAGATAGGTGCCAGCTCTTTCAAACAGAAAATTACAAAGTCAAAAGAATTTGTAGGTCAAAAGTGCGTGATTGAGTTACATGCTCACGAATTATTATCTTTTATTAGATATTATTTCATGAATAGCTTTATGTTGAATCAATACAAGATACTGCCATGACTGACTGATGAACTCTATTTATTCCCAAGACACACTGTTTGCAACCACAGTACAATTGAACGACTCTAATTACAGCACTACCGGCCGTTACCCTCGCGAATCATTTATAAAATTGTAGCACACGCCAATTCTTTGACTTAAATTATGTTTATGACGAGCACAAGGTCAGCTTTCTTTCTTTCTCTCCCTCCCTCTAGAACTGTATATAGTACTCGTTGCATTTACTTCAATATAAAACAGAAAAAATATTTTATTATGGAATTTATTTGTTAATATACAATTTATTATAGCTAAACCAATGCAACAACATCAACAAAAAGTTTCTCCATCGACTTATCGTCCTGTCGGAGGTGCACACCATGCTGATCCTCATCATGGTGCACATAGTAATGAAACTATTCGATTACAACATGAAGTATGAACATACTTGATTTAGTTGTTTTTCAGAAGAAAATTAATTTTTACTAGATTGATACATTACAAGAAATGATTCAACAACATGCATCGCAAATAGCTGGCCTCGAAAAAGAACGAGACTTTTATTATCAAAAATTACGTGATGTAGAGGTTATTTGCCAAGAGCCAGAATGTGAATCAGTGCCACAAGTGCAGAAAATTCTCGAAATTCTTTATGCTACAGAAGTATGTAGAAATATTTATTTTGACGCTATTGAGTTTTACAGGAAATGATATCACCGATGCATATGTATTTTTAAAGGAGGGTTTTGAGATACCCGACGATAATGAAGAACAAAACGTCGAACAAGCATTTTAGTGAGGGGTCTGTTTCCTCATTTGTGAGTTTATCGTTGTAGCACCCTCATTGCTTCTGTTTGTGCATTCGTCTCGATTCTTGCTAAATGATACCATATATTTCTTTTTTTTTTATTTAAGGAGGGTTTCGCTCAACCTGATCAAGAGAATGGCGCTGCTGATTTAGATGATGCTAACGGGTTGACTGTTGGTAATCATGATAATGGCTCTGCTCTTGTGGCTGGCGACGATGATACATATTAAAAAATTTTATGCCCTTATTTTTTGTTGTTCCTCTTCTTTATGATCAATGCTCATTTTTTCTTCTTCTGTGGTGTAATTACACTAAGTTCTTATTCTTCTTCTTCTTCTTATTATTTTGTCTCTATAATTTGACGTGCTTATTATCTTTATTCAATTCTTTGTATCCTGATGTATGTGTGTGGCTGCCTGTATGCAACTCTATACGGAAAAAAAGGAATATGTTTATTAAATTGGCTGTACTCAGATATACTAATTGTTATATAGAATGTTCCAGAAGTCATCTATAAAAAGAAAAGCAATTCAAATATCTGCATTGCGTTCTGATTAAATCGACTAATTCTGTTACTGGATGATGGACAAAACTAGGCTGCGGGTGTGCAGTATGTATTGAAAGAGAATATTGATAAAAGACGGCTAGGATAAGAAAGTAAATTTTTAGCTATTATTCGAAATATCATGATGTGGAAAATTTGGTAATAAAAGTATATGATCGTTGTTGTAATAAGTATTATAGTATGTATTTGCTCATAATTAGCAACTAATCTGAGGCTCTCCTTGATCTTCTGTAGTTCAATTTTGAGCTTTAGAAACAATGTCAAAATCAGGACTCTTCGATAAATTTGTATTGGACTTAAAGATCTTGACATTCTGGTTCGAATTCTATCATCAAAATTTGAAGTTGTTCGAAATAATCTGATGTAATTTCATTATCATCCTCAAAAAAAAAAGTAAACGTAGTTCAATGTAAAGACTTCGCACGCCAGGCAGTTTAAGAAACTGTTCATGAAAGAAATATGTTTGAAATCATTGCATGTGTTGACATGTTCTTGATAGTTGTGCAATTATATGAATCCAATGATAACACCATCGAATATTGTTTGTGGAACAGTTTGAAGATAAAGTGCATCTTTATTACCAGTAAGAACTGACGAGCAAACTGACTGAGATGATAACGCTGGTTATAAAAACAAAAAGCTTAAGTTGAAAATAACGATTCTGGAAATAGGTTAAATTGCTGAATAAAGTTGAGAGCAAGATAATGGTTGAGTATTAAGTGATGCATGGATTCAAACAGATGATGAAGGTAACGATGATATAGAACCAAATATTAACATAGGTGTTGGTGATGTTTGACTTGCTTGTGAAATAGGACGAACGTTGTTATTGATTTATGAACTTTTCACAGACACCGGCTTGAGGTGGCGAATACTGTATCATGAGTAGAAGTCAGTTGACATACTGATGTCCGTGAATCGATATCGATGAATATGCATAAGTCAAATTATCAATTCGAGTAAACAATTGCCTTGCTTGTTGCTGTAACGTTTCGAAGTCAATTCAAAGATAGAGTTACGATGTGACTCAGATGAACGTTCAGGAACGGTAGTATTATTAATTGCCATTTATTAAGATTTTACAATATCAGCGTCGAAGTAACTATGCAAGAGAAATATGTAACGATTGACGATTAGATGTTGACGTTAGAATCAATAAGTTCGATTGGCCAAAATAGTCGTGCTGTTTCGATAACATGGTCCGATGCTGATGTAGATAAATGTGAAAAATAAAAATCGACGAGCTGGCAAGAGGAAAAACTAAAGCACCAATCAGCATCGAAATCATTTGAAATGCAACTAGAAACGATCCAAGATGTTACTATAAGGTGAACTATGATCATTTAAAACGGAAATTAATAATTATTTAAAATATGATTTACGCAAGTGAGTATAGCGGCAATAAGTAGATCAACAACAAGATAGAACTCAGAGCAGGTCTACTGTCAGAGTCCGCACTTTTTACATTGCTACAATATTGATTGAGTTCATGAATGTCAGTATGACGTAACAATTGAAAAAGTGTTTGCTAGGCGACAGAAGGTGAATTATTAGAAATCGTCTTAAACTCTTATCCATCTCATTGAACACGAATGCTGATTCACTGATATGCCCAATAATCAAAAGTAGAAATTCACAAGTAAGAATAAGATTGAAGAAGACTTTTGAAAGTTAAGAAGACAAATTGCAGAATAGTAAAGATATGGTTTTGTTTGGCTACTAATAGGAAATAGAAGCGTTCGAAATAGCGGCCACTAATTAGAAAGCAACATAAATTGCAATGTAAACGCGCTTAACAGGAAACATTTAGGCGAGTATAAATAACAGCTGTGTCATCACAAATAGCGTCCACAACCCAAAACTTTGATATCTAAGCAACGAAAGGGAATTAATTCTGAGTTCTATTTTCATGGAAGTCACACATAGAAACCTATTACACATTTCTACGAATAAATCATCTCTAGTAATAAAAAGCAAGCAGTATGCTTGAAAGAATAAGCTGCTCATTCTTATATGTTGGAAACAGGACAAATCAGGTAAAAAGTTCACGATGAGATTCATATTTGACTTCCTTCATGAGTGATCTGTGAGTAGCTGCCTAATTCGACTTCGAATATAAATGGAAAAAACCACTTTCATGTTTTCACGCAATCGCCGGGAAAAGATTTAGTTTTTACAACATCAGGATTTAACCTTATGTTACGTTTTAAATACACCCACACCCTAGCTGAGGAATCAACCGACTTTTTAACTTCTAGCAGTTTTCATTCGCTAGATCTTGATCAAATCTAGAGTTTTATGTTAAAAGATTAGACGAAAAACCTTGGCCACAAAAATTTACCATACAGATATCAAGTTATGTATATGTTTTTTGTTATTTTTCATTATTACTTTTCGCATGCTGCTCGAAAAACCTACGAACTCAGTAAAACCAATACAATATTGAAAATCAGCGTTCAAAACTGAGTAGATTCATACGAATTTCAATGAATTTAAACCACTTTTATTTTTTTCTCAAAATTATCGTTCTAGTATACCCCTCAGGGATATGTGGAACAGCCAATCGCATCAAGCGTGCCTTGAAAGTTATTCAATATACTTTTCGGTCGGTAAAAAGCGATCCGTACTGAAAATAGTAGAAAATAAAACGATCAAACTTACGTTTTGAGACATTCGATTTTTCCACATATCCCTGCGAGGGGTATACTAGAACGATAATTTTGAGAAAAAAATCAAAGTGGTTTAAATTCATTGAAATTCGTATGAATCTACTCAGTTTTGAACGCTGATTTTCAATATTGTATTGGTTTTACTGAGTTCGTAGGTTTTTCGAGCAGCATGCGAAAAGTAATAATGAAAAATAACAAAAAACATATACATAACTTGATATCTGTATGGTAAATTTTTGTGGTCAAGGTTTTTCGTCTAATCTTTTAACATAAAACTCCAGATCTGATCAAGATCTAGCGAATGAAAACTGCTAGAAGTTAAAAAGTCGGTTGATGTCTCAGCTAGGGTGTGGGTGTATTTAAAACGTAACATAAGGTTAAATCCTGATGTTGAGTATGAAAGTTCGACATTGTCTGTGCCTAAAAAACATATAATATTTTGAACTGATTTTTGTATAAAACAATTTTTGGCATCTTTTATGATAATTTCGGTAGAGAAAATCTCGATTCCGAGAGGGGGGCCGATTTCGGCTCCTAATGCCATCCGTCCTTTAGAAAATCAGAGTGGAGTTGAATGGAGTTGGAGTTGCTCATCTCTGTCTTGTTTCTTCTCGAAATGAGGTGAGGGTGTTGAAATATCATTATTAATAACCCTATCAATAAATAGATTTCCTAAAGCAAATCTCTCGATAGAATAAATCATAGCATCCTTTGGAGCCGTTAAAGAAATATATTTCCTTTGAATTTAGGTTCTCTATGGGATTTGTTGATTAAGAACTTATAAATTTCGATGATATTTCAGCTCAACTATCCATCTGCCGTCCTAATATGGAAAGGCTAAAAACAGTTTTCGTTACATTAATTTTTTCATCTTTATATACAAATATATATATATCTGCATATTCTTGTCTCGAGCGCCCCCTTTTTCATTTCAATTGTGGATCAATGTTATTCTATTGGCGTGGCGATTTGGCATATGCAGGTTATCTCGCCCGAACAATATTCTTGTCTTCTTTTGTTTGCAATGCAAGGGGACCAAAACCAGGCGATATCTTTGTCTTTTGCCATATAGATAGACAGGCATTATAGTTTCAACATGATTACAATAGCAACAAAACAAAGCCATTCAAAATTCTAATCTTTTTTAAAAACGAAAATTAGCAAATAAATGTATTCACTTTTTCCCATAGCAATAAGGAATAACAATAATAATAATAAATCTTCTCGCCTTGAAGATTTAGCAAATGAAATTTTTTTTGAAATTTTCGAATATCTCGATACATATCATGCTTATAAAGGATTTTATTATCTTAACAAACGATTTGAAAATTTATTTACAAATTCAAATCATCCAACAAAAATCGAATTTTCAACAATGTCAAGATCAAATTTCAAAAATTATTATATAGATATTATTTTACCGCATAGATATCAAATTAAATTACTTCATTTATCAAATCCATTTAGTGTTAATGCCATTTTTTCACCACCAAATATTATATCAGAATTTTCTTGTCTTGAAACATTGATTCTTGATAATTTAGAATCAAAATATCTAGATGAAATTCTGAATTATCTGACGTTTTTGCCAAAATTTCATTCATTCACCATTAGTTTTGCCAATCCTATTGAATGTTTAAGTCATCTTTTTACTAAAATAGTTTCATTATCGAAATTAAAATATTTTAAAATGACATATCAAACAAAAGATGATTGTATTTTATCCATTCATTTTCCTGAAAATGATCGTAGTTCAATTGAATATTTGATTATTAATGGTCATTTTCTATTTAACCCTTTCCGGCCCGCTGTTTGAAAATTGCCGTACCCCCCTAGGGGAAAATGTTGCCATATGGCAACACCGGGCCGGAAAGGGTTAAATCACTGAATAATTTATTTCGTTGTTTTCCTCAACTTCATCATTTATCAATGGATTCTATGGTTACATTTCATTCTAATAATATGAATGAAGAATTACCATTGATTGAATTAAAACATTTAACATACGTTTCTTTTAAATTTGAACATATTATTAATTTTTATGATTTTGAAAAAATCATAAAAAAGTTTTTCTATTATGTTCAAACTTTACGTCTTACAGTAAAGGATGATGAAACATATTTACATGCTAAACGATGGCAAACATTAATAACATCTTCAATGCCACATTTACGTGTTTTTGACATGAATCATAGTATTGATGTTGAAGATTATGATGATAGAGACTACCATAGTTTAATTTCTAGTTTTTATTCTTCATTTTGGCGTGAAAGACAATGGCATTTTTTACATCGACATGAATGGAGCGCATTGGGACCTGATAAAAGAGTTTTGTCTTCATCAAATTTACATAGGTAAAAATGAAAATTGCGATATCGGTCCGACACACAAGAGAAAATCAAAAACAATGACTTTCACATTTCAGGTTCAACGATCTATACTAATAACCTGTTTTGTTTTCTTTTAGGACACAAGATTATCGATTGGATCTGCTATACGATTACTGCAATTTTGGAATGTTTACCGAAATGAACTTAAATTTAGTAAAGCATGTTTACACCGATGAGATATTAACATTAATCAGGTCGAAAAACTATTTTCCAAATGTTATCCAGTTGACTATTCTAAGGAGGGCTGCGCAAGTACGGGTACAACTTGTACTAGCATCTATTACCATCTATTACTCCCCAAAAACCTAGAATTCTAGAATTCATGTATTGGCATGTATTCGTATGTACTCGTATGTATTCGCTTGTACTACCCCNTAGGTTTCTGGGTGGAAGAGGGGTAGTACCGCCGAATACATACGAATACATACGAGTACATGGGAGTACATGCAAATACATGAATTCTAGAATTCTAGGTTTCTGGGGGGAAGAGGGGGTAGTACAACCGAATAGATACGAATACATACGAGTACATACGGGTACAGATGTATCGTCTGTGTTAGTAGCGGAGCTTTCATCCTCTATGTAAATTGGCGAGTACAAGTTGTATCCGTACTTGCGCAGCTATGATTCTAAGCTCTTTTAAAATATCGGATGATTCAATTTTACCAATTATTAATCATTTAATTCCATTAAATCAACTTACGCAAATAAATTTTCTATCAACTTGTGATCTTTTAAATGGTCTGCTAAAATTATTATGTTTTACATCGAATTTAAATTCATTAACATTTAATTCATTGCTAATGGGTGAATGTACTGTGAAGTTACTTCCACAAAATGAAAAGTTTCAATATATTGCAAGTGCAAATAAAATAAAAAACCTTCATATTCTTCATAAGTGTTCGTTGGCAAACTTGCAACTTTTGGCTAATTTGTTTTCAAAAGTAGAGTATCTTAAAATTGAAATTATTGAAGAGCAAATCACAGATATTATTCGATTTCTTTTAATAAAACCTAATCATATATTGCAAAACCTTTTCTTGTTATGCATTTCTCAATCATCAATAAAATATTTAGAACACTTCAATAATTTAATTAGATCAGAATGTTTACTTAATGATTATTTTATTAAATATGTCAATGATGATTTATATTTATGGTGGTAAAAGTTTTGTTGTTTAAAACGTTTTTTTTTCTGTTTTTGTGTACAATTTATTATCATTTCGAAATAAACTAAAGACTCGAAGTTTTCATAAATACTTTTTTAGATTTATTATTGTGTACTCAAAAAGTGAGTACACTCTAGAATCGGTCAGTGTGTCCGTCCGGCCGTAGGCACGATAACTTGCGAAAGGAGAGTCAGACCGTGATGAAATTTTCCACACAGTTCAATCTCATGAATATCTCGGTCGAGTTCGAAGATGAGAAGAATCCCTCAAGAAATGGTTGAGTTATCGAAAAAATTGTCATTTTTGACCAGGCCATCCCTGAGGAGGAGTACAGGGAATTTTTTTCAAAAAATAAATCTTTCTCAGAATTATTCACAACATATATAAATCGACTCAGTTTTTAACGCTGATTCCGAATCTGATATTAGTTTTGAGCTAAACCGTAGCTTTCTGATGAAACATCGCCTGAAAAACGTCTCAAAATGCACAAAAACTGCATCCAGAAATCAAATTGCCTAGTTTCTCATGATAATTTTGGTGTTCAGACATTTTAGAATGACTCATATATCCCATGCACTTTTTGCAGTACACATAACTTTCGGATGAAATCCGAAGTTTCCACATTTATTTTTTCTAATATAATTAAAATATACGTAATGAAAAGAGGTATGACTCGAATAAAGGTAGCCAAAAAGCATACGATTGCTAGAATGATAACAATATGTCGAAAATCATTTCGTCGATTCAGAAGAAGACAAGGAATAAATCCGATTGGTCTTCAATTAAGAAGATAATCAACAGTTATCATTGATATTTCAAAATATATTTGAATTCTTGGTGAAATAGGAGAAAATGTAATCCAAAATGCATATTGACTAAAACAGAATCAGAAAATAAAATTGACGACGAAAAATGTTATAAATTGGAGGATTTAATGACTCGACTATAACTAAATTATCATCTACATTCATTTTGATATTAATAATCGAGACTACACAGTTTACTTGAATCAAGAGAGGTTAAGCAAAACAAAAAATAAGGAAATCAAAAGTTAACATTTCGTCAAAAAGTCAAATAGAGTATCATCAAAAGAAGAAATGTGTATTATTTCATATCCCTTCTATCTATTTACAACACAAACTCAAATGTGATTTGAATATGTTTCTCTGACTCATAAAATAGAAGAATAACATCTTATTAACAGAACTTCTTTAAGAAGAAAGTTCAGTTTGAAATTGAAATTGAACTTGGAAACTCGTTTTCTTGTATCGTTGCACAAAAAATTTTTCATGTCTTAATCTACAACGAAAGAATATTATTATAAGGCAAGCGAATATAGTATATTAGAAAGTACTTTTTGATAGTATCAATGAACAAATGCCTATTTGTAGTTATAAAACAATATAAACATACAACGCATCAACCACTATAAAGATCATCGAATGGTACCCATAAAAAATTTCCCGACAAAGAATTTCTATTGCGAAAATGAGACGATCTAAACAGCTCCTAATGCATTATAAACTTGGTTGAACTATGAAAGATTATTAACCATTTAATATTCAATCCAGCGGCAGCCCTTATCTTATTTGAATCAACTTTATTTATTTATTTAGGATCATAACCATTAAAAGCGTCGTTGTGCTACTCCTAAATACTTTCGAAATACCGGTCACTGGTCAGTTGCTACTCACTTAGTTTTACTTTTTCAAAAGTTCATCTGTTCGTTCTATGCAATAGACCTCTGTGCAAGCCTCTTTGTTTATTAAAACGATGAGAAAATGTTTTTGAAAAACTACACTTGAAATCGAATAACTCCGCCTCAAAAACTTTTTGTCAAACTTTATCAGTGATGGGATCGGTTCGTGTTTTTTTCGAACCGAATCGAATTGAACCGAAAAAATTTCAAACCGAACCGGACCGACCCGAAAAAGTTTCAAACCGAGCCGAACCGAAATGAACCGAACCGAATGATATTCAAATGCCTTACATATCTTAGAAAGATAAAATATTATTAGAGTATTTGCTTTTCTCTTAAAATGATATTTTATGCGCACATCATGAATATATATGTCGTGTTGAAGTTATAACTTCGAAAAAAAAAGTCGTCGAAGTTACAATTTGTACATTTTTAGCATAAAATAATTATCAAATTAAATATATTTTTTCATTCTATCTATGATCATAAAAAAGCTTTGGCCTATACATAAATATTTTCATTTAGCAAGCTTGTTAAATAAAAATATACATTTATTAGCAAAAGCTTAGTTATGATCGTAGGTAGAATGAAATAATACATTCAATTTAATAATTAATTTATCACAAATATGTACAAGTTGTAACTTCGATACGACATACATATTTATTTATATACATTAAGTTAAAAATAACAATACAATTGTTGTTAAAAGTTACAACAACGCTACAATTTTCTTATTTCTCTCATAAGCAGAAAAAATCTTTTGATTGAAAATAATAAATCGGTTTAAAAGACTTCGAACCGAAAATTCTTTAAACCGAACCCAACCGAACGGATGAAATTTTCTAAAATTACGAACCGAACCGGTCCCATCTCTGAACCTTATGCAAAATCTTTTTTTTCCTAAAAAAACTCTCTTTCTCTCCCTAAAAAAGGTAGAAAGCGAAACTTCGAAAACCTGACTTCGTATTGGAGTTCCTTCACCCCGATCACCTTCGATCAAACCTTATACGAAACAATTATTTTCTCAAAAAATATCTTTTTAGTAGAAAATTCAGGATGAAAAGTTCATGAAAATCTGACACCGGATTCGGATTTCCCGACCCAAAAACTGTCAGACAAACGTTGTAGCGTATTTGCATAGAGGAGCTAAAAAACAGATTATTTTGTTCTGTGCGAATGAACGAACAGGAACGAACGCATTTAACTCGTTTTTCGTAATACCCCCCTTTCAGTAGAGGGAATATTGACACGTGATCAGAAATGTTTTAAGCAATTTTTTTCATATTTGACCCAGCAGAAAGTACTTCTGACTAGCTAAAAAGTATGAGTTACAATCAAAATGTGGTGCCCGTTTTGACCATTGGCTTACAAATTCTATGTTTTCCTTCGAAAGTAATTAGTGAAATAATCTTCAAAAAATCAAACAAATAGGTTAAGATAGAACCTTTTTCCGTTCATGTTCGTATTTTGGTTTGCAATTCGAAACGAAAACCTAGTATTCTGTCTAAAAAAAATCAGTTTGCAGCACCGAAATCGCTCTAAAAATGTACTATGTAAACCCTTTTTGGCTTTCCATTAGGAGCATGTGGTTTTTTTCTTCCCAATTACTCATTTCTAAAAAAGTCAGACTTTCATTAAAAATCCTTTCGTGTCGAGAGCAGCTCTTCAGAAACTTGTGTAGAGTTATTTGAGTGAAAGCTATAATTTTGTTTAATATCCCAATGTGTTAGGAAATATCCACTCCAGAAAATGACGGACTGTGACAATAATTAACATGTTTGTGAAGCATTTTACAAGTCAAACAGAAAAATGTTAGCGCACCATTGAAAGCAACTTGTCATGCTCTGTACAATGTCCGTAACTGCATTTGAATAAAGATACGCACAACATTTATCAGCTCATCTTCGAAAAAGCACACAACTTTAACCATAGAATAACTTCCAATTCGTCAGAAATATGTTCTAGTTGAGCGAGAATGACCAAAATTGTATCTAAAACTTTTACAATGACTAGTTAAATGTTCGAAGAATAGGTTATAACCTCTAGAACCTGATTAAAAATTATATTCACAGTATTTTATTTGCTTCCAAAACCGATGCGAGCAACACAATAATTTGAGCATTAAAACGTTCGGTTGCAATGACTAACACATCTTTGTATTAAAAAAATGCATCCTTGAAAAATTTTGCTAGGGAGGGAGCTCAGAAGTCTCTAGGAAGACTGCCGGGGGGGGGGGGGGGGGGGGGGGGGGGGGGGGGGGGGGGGGGGGG